GTGGCTCTTAATTGTTGAAAGACGGTTCAGTAGAATCGCCTTGTCTTCTCGAGATTGCTAGCAACGGCTTCGTTCAGTCAGTCATGGCGTATCGATGAGACGTTCTGTGTCCCCCTTCGGCAGTACTGTGAACATGAAAAATGGCGTTATCTTCATTATAGCCCGGGGAGCCCGACTCTAAGGCATTCCCTCCGTCGGCTCACCAAACCCGTACTGTACAGTATATAGTCGACATGTTTGTCCCGTGTAGACGCCCCCAATAGATTGCTGACCATCTGCGGCTTTTCGCCTCCTTCTCTTGCATTCTGAGCATCGCATTACTGGCTCTCCCGAGCCGTGTTTTCATCGTCCGATCCTGAAAGATTCGTTTTTTCTTTGGATATCCGTTACCTCTCGGTTTCAAGTGTCCCTTGATTCCCACGTTCCTAGATCCATCGCGTCCATAGATCCCATATTCATCAATGCTCTCAAAACCCCTTCACCCACTTGGGGAACACCTGTCTGTCCATGAATATCCGCCCACCCATCGGGCATGCTAAACCCTCCGTTCTGATCCAAACTTGTTGGCATACCAAAACCAGATGTATCAGCAAAAAAGCCCTGTGTGCTACCATCGAGTACGCCTGGGTTCATCATGTTCTGGTTTGGCGACATGGGACTTGCGTTGAATGAGTTGACCCCTGATCTGTTCATTTGTCCAGGTGCCAAATGACTCCGTTGATCGGATCCCGTGCTTGAGTTTGGTGTTGGTCGATTCGATTGCATCGCGTCTGGAGACCCTGAAGCGTCCTGGCCATCTCCTGTCATGTCCCCAAAGCCTGAGACAGTCCGACTTCCTGATCCAGTCTTCTCAAAAGTTGCTCCCGAACTAGGTGTAAGAATTGATGGTATATGTTGCTCCGATGACATCCATGCCTGTGCTCCAAAGTTTCCATCACCTGCAACAGACATACTTGGCATGTCGTTGTTGGGCTCGACTATATCGGGTGGTCCTGGTTGGTTGATGTCGTTGTCAGATGGGTTCATGTAATTGCATTCGTTGCGATATGCCGTTATGCCCTGGAATCCTTCAGGGTTGTCGCATTTAGCACCTCTGGGCGCTCCTATTGTACCGGGCTGGAACGTGTTAGCAAGCACTTGAATACAGTTCGGTTTCTGACAACATACACTATCGGTATTACGTGGGAAAGCCGTCTTGAGCTTGGGAATTCTCAGTGCAAGAGCTTCCAGGTCGACGTCTAGCTGAACAAGGAATGACTCAGTCAGAGGGTTTCGCCGCTTCAGGGCATTCATTGCTGAGAGCAGGAACCGTAGCGAGTCAGCTGTTTGACTATCATCTGGCCTACTCTTAAGATATTGCACAAATACTCGCGCAGATACATATAGACAGAATGATATAAACGGGTTAACCTGACAGCACGTTAGTCTTCTCTTCGGTACTAACAACATAATTGTTTTGTCCTTACTGTGGAAAGATCCATATGAGAAATCATGCGCATAATGCTGGCAATCTCATTGGCAGCTGTTATGCATCGTACTTTGCTCTCGGCGCTGACCGACGCTGGCAGCTTGTTCTTCTCCGCCTTGAATATGGCAGCCTGGTGTAAGCATATCGTCGATGTGTGTATGCTCATGTTTGTAAAGACAATGTTAGGATTAGATAGACCCGTGGGAAGCTTCAGTTGTGGTGGGAGACAGAGGGATGTGTTGAGTAGTATATTGTCCATCTGACGGTGTCGCTTCCAAAACGGACCATTGAGATCGTGATCAAGATCATCAGCATCGGGACGGTGCAAATGTACCAAGTTTCTGCCAAATAGACATGCCATGAGCACGATGCCGCCAAACGAAGAAAGCTTGCCCGCACCCATGGGACTGGTGCACTCGGATAGGGATTGTGTCTGCTCGGGTCTACTCATATTGTATGCATCTTCTGAAGCTGGCAGGTTGGTCATAATGTCGCGCTCATCAATCGTCATGGGCCATCCAGTCCCAATGCTGGCGTAACGGTCTTGGCAGAAGGCCATCCAGAATGTTCGGCGTCGTTCTTCGCGTTCTGTCCAGTCTTTAGGGGGTGCCAGACATTGCTTTACATCAAGGCCCGTTCCGTCCAACCTGTGAAGCCCAGTCCTGTAGTCGTCAGTATCGAAAAATGCCACAAGCGGGTAAGAAATACTCACATTTGTGCAAGGCGGATAGCAGAGCCTGTGTTGATCCAAGCTCGGGGAAAGTACATCATCTTCATCTCATAAGAGGCCAGGAGAGTATGCGTCTGGCAGTGAGCGATAGAGATCATGTGCTCTCCATAACCTTTGACGTAGTCCCCTTCGACATACTTGCGTGCTCTCCGGTAGAAAAGATCTTTTAGGTCCGCATATTTGTCTGTAATTGTACATGCGAGAGTCCACATGGCATATCGCAGACAGACGGGCGGTCGCTGATTCGGAGCACTGTGAAAGCATGATCAGCCACTTGAGTTTCAACGCTAGACGGGCATAACGAACAGGTTCATGGCGGCAAGATAACGATACTTGTGGATCATCGGAATGGACGGGTGGACCTTTTCAAAATATATTTGGTGAAGCTCGTCGATTGTATCCTGTGGCGGCAACGGTTCCTCGAGACCTAAACCAATCATTTCCCATGTAAAGGTTCCTCCGACATGATTCATGCCCATATTCATACTGGCATTGAAGTTGAAATCTTCAATTACACCTTGCTGCGGTGACTTATCAACAAAGTTCCACTGCTGGTCCATGTTGCGATCTGTTGTCAGATTTATTGGCGCAGTCGAAAGATTGAGATTTGCGGGAGAGGCTGTTTGGGTTGGGCCAGGCATAGCGACGTTGACGGTCTTGGGGACGTTTTGAGGAGGGTCCTGGGTTTTCAATAGCGTTTCGACTTGTTCTGGACATGGCATGTCAGCGAACAAACCTTGGGAGCAGATCAGGAACGAGACTCACTCAGTCGCTCCTCGAGGGCCTTCACATAGCCACGCTTGGGGCCGCTCTTCCTGCGCTGTTCATCGTAGGCGCAAGTATGGCCAAGGCGAGAGCAAGTACTACAACTGGGTCGCACACCATCACACTTGAGCTTGCGCTTTCGACATATCATGCAAGCGAGTCGCTTGGGCTTGGGCACACTCGCGTTGTCGGGGACGTCCTGCTGAGGGGCGCCGTCGTCTCCATCGGCGTCGTCGTTTCGAGGTCGTTTATGGCCGCTGGTGGCAGGTCCATTTTCCGGTGAATTCGACATGAGTGGTTATGTATGTGGCTTATATGATGGTGTCGGAATCGAATCGATGTCGAGACTCGAGTTTTGAGATTTGGGGTCGGGGATGGTTGATAAGACGGCGGGGATAAGAATGCTCAGCGGAATTCCACAATTGTAAGGGTCCGCATCTAGCGGGACGAGATCCGGAGAGTTGAAGGGATCTGTAAAGAAAAAGCAAGTACAGCTTGTCGCGGAGGCCGGAAGGTTTCGAGTCAGGTTTAAGCCGGAACGGGCACGGCGGTACGGAGCACGAGCAAGAGCAAGCATGAAGAGATGAGATTCAGGCTCACCCAACCGTGAGGTGTTACGGAGTTAAAGACCAGGCCGGCACGGAGGCAAGTGGGACCTCCAAGCTTAACTCATCTCGGGGAGTCGCCTGGGTTTGGCGGATTTCCTCCCATGTGGTATTATGGCAGGTGCAGGTGAGGTGGGCCAAAGTCCAGCCAGCCATGGATGGAAGCCAGCCTCTACGGCAGTCTACGGGTCTACGGTTGTGCTTGCCGCCGCGATACACTTGGCTGCCTGGCGTCTGCTTGACCTGTAGCACGCCAACTTGGGGAACGTTTGTAGCGGGTTTGAGCAGCCCTACAGCCAGTTACAGTCCAGTATCTGCAAGGATAGGGGTCCGCGGGTCCCTGTGGAGTATTAATAATGGATGAAATGGGTGATGGACCGGATATCTTGCTTGATATCATCCTGGATCTAACCTGGATTCTCCGCAAATTTTCGGTAGTTATCATGCGCTTATACCTAGGTATGGATATTGTTATATCTACTGAATACTTAGATGCCCTCAACATAAGAGATTCAAACAATCATGATTCTGTTTCAACCTTGAATCATCACAAGTGGCACAGCCACGCGCTTCGCTTCGTTCCGTGCTACTAGTGGCAACCATCATTTACTAACTGGCCAGCTCTCAATTAAGCATTATATTTGACACAAAACATCCAATCTATTCATCTACTAATTTAGACAGCAATAAATCTCGAGCGCATCAGCCGTATTCGTATAGAATCTCAGTCGAGGTTGGAATATGCTTGTTCAGCTCAGTCCTACCAATTTCTCCCTTATATCTGAGTGGTCTAGGTTAGGTAGCCCAACAGGATTGCCCGCGTTCCTGTAACGCAACATAGATCTAAGTTGCTATCTTCACCGCCAGATGTTGCAGTGGCAGGTTTCATGCCATTAGCTAGAGGTTAATATGTTTCCATTGTGTGGGTTTTGGTATTGTTCAGAGCATTTGTTGTGCATCAGCTCTTATCTAGGTAACAGCGGCTTACCAAACCAATGCATAGAAGCTTTACTCTCAGATAGAGTATCAAACACCCATACGACAATTGCTAAATGTATTTGTCTCTAGAGGTCGCTAAATATGTATGGATCTATGAGATGCATGTTGGAGATAGATTCGATACCTCGGTTGACTCTTGAGTATCGCATTCTGATACCACTTCACCCATGTAACTGCTGCACTGCCTCATCGAATGGCCACCCCTGAATTATGTCACAACTTCGAAGCTAAGCCCCTTACCCGTTCATCGTCGATACAAGATCATTGTGCACGTTTTGGTAGTTTCCAACAGACTTTGTGTTCGCCATCCACCTTGTGCACATCGCTTTTGTGCAAAGTTGGTGACGCCTGTCAGCCATCTAGATACGTCAAGGACACAGTGGACCGGTCATCATTTACTCCGTCTGACACACAGTATCAAGTCTAAGAATCGACACTTCTATCATTTCGTCGAGCTGGCCACCACAGACTCGTTTTTTTTTTAATATAATTCTGTTTAATAGTTGACTGGCATACTGGGAAAGCAGCTTGTACCTTACGCTGGTTTCCCTACTAAGCGAGGAGTTTCATGCCTTACTTTCTATCGATGTCAACACCTACAATCCTCAAGATCCCTAGATCACTGTAAGCAAGGCAATACCGTGTTGGAGCCCAAGCAACTACAGGACAAGCCCCCGCCGTCTTGAATGTGTGTACGTGCTCTCCGGTCTCAACATGTGATATCTCTAGCCCGGACCCTGGAAGATGTTAGTGATAATACTTGTAGCCCAGAGATAAGGAGTGCTTACCCTCATCACTACCACCCACGACAAAACTGCCATCAAACGTAAAGCCTGGGTACCGAATGATCAGCAATTGTATCAAAACAGTCAAATGCCATGAACTTACTTAGGCTTTTGACAGGTCCAACCATCCTAGTGATCGTCCTCTGGCATATCCAGTCGTTTGTGTCCCACAGCGCAATGATTGAGTCTGAACCACCCGTCGCAAGATATCGTCCGGTGGGTTGTAGGTCGGCTGTCAGGCACGACGATGTATGCCCGTTCAGCTCATACTCGCTCGTCTCATCGCCACGCTTGCTCTGCAGCACAGGTTCAAAACCCGGATACGACAAGACCCGAATGCGGCCCTCCGCTGTGGTCACGAAGATCTTCTCGCCGCTCCAACAGAATGCGATCTGGTTGGTCTGCACTGACTGTTGATGAGTGCTAATAGGCGTGGATTGAGTTGGTGAGAGAACATAGATGGTGTCTGCTTTATTCCCGACAAGAAGTGAGTTCCCGTCTGGTGCCCAGACAAGAGTGAAGGCGTCTCCAAGCCCCTTGACCTCGTTGAAGCATGCTTTCGTCCGCACATCCCAGAACTTGACCACACCGTCACTACTCACGCTGCAGAGCTCTGCATCTTTGGTTGGATTGAATGCAACTTTCTCAATCGATGCTGAATGGCCTTTGAGCTCCGTTGAGAATTTCACATGTGGTTTCTCGGGGTTCCCTATTCCACTTCATATTAGCATTGCGATTAATCAAGTTGCCGGGTCCATCGACTCACACACTCTAAGAACCTTCTCTGATGAACCTGTTGCTACCAGAGTTCCCAGAGGATTCCACGCAATGCAACGTAAGCTTGAAAAGTCATGTCAGTAAGTACCAATTAGTCGTAACGCCGTAGATAGTGTGTGCATACCTGTGAGGATTTGAACCTCTAGAATTGTTGGCGTCGTTGTAGGGTTGGCTCCTGAGGTTTCCAAAATAACTAGAGAACTTATCCTTGGATAGACTCTGTCTTGCTCGGAGCACTGGTGCCATGATGGTTGAATGAGGTACCGTTGCTACCAGGCTGGCTGTTGATTTATAAGTTTGATGGCCCTTTGAACTCTTGCGCCCAGCTCAGTTGGCGGTCAGCATCAAGTTATCACCAAGAAGATAGCGATAATGAGTAAGCCACTGTATTGAACAAGTCTTGTTTTGTATCTGTGAGACCCTGTGGAAGTTTGAACACGATAAGTTGGCCCTGTCTCGGAATATTAAAATAGGTTGCAGTTGAATGGCGACGAAGTACAGGCTGGCGTATGGAAGGCCTGGGCTAAGGACACCAGCCACAGATGAAATCAATAGGAAGCAGGTGCAGCCAAGCGACGGCTAGTGCGTACCGCGCATGCCACTGACCGCCCAAAAGAGCGTGCCTTTCAGTGGGCCTGACGCGACAATAGGAGGGGAACTTGGTGCGTGAAAAACCATCAACCCATTAGATCCATGGATGGATGCTATCTCGTTTCCAATGGCAACCACTGAAGCATTAATCATCACTGTGCAAAAACACATGAATTTCTACATGATAAACAGTCCAAGAAAAGGAATCAATTCGTTCCACTGCGACCTCGTCAGGGACTCTTGCAAAAATAAACATTCAAAGGCATGACCCCAAGTATTCGTTAAATGTAAAACTTCATTCCTGCCCCCCTGGGCTCTCCCGTAATCCGGTCATGGTATATGTACAATTTTCTATCACAGGCCCTTTTCACGGTAGCGGCCGGGATGCAAAAGAACTGTACAGAAGTCTCCTTGCTCAAATCATCGGGACCGTTTTCAGACAGCCAGATGCTAAGCTCAGCTTGCATCAACAAACAACCCCTAGGCCGATGTACATCTTTCCATTACTCCCCGTCCAGTGCCCCATGAATAGGCCGTCTGCACAGCCAACTCCAACCAGCCGAACCAAACCCTTGAATTCCTTCGCCAGTGACTCCATGCGCCATGTATGAAGACGAAAAGCATGCTTTGGAAAATGTGCAATAACCAGACAATCGCAAACAAAAAAAGTGCAGATGCTGTCCGCATGTCAGACAAAGATAATATGAATCCAGACCAGTGCGGCAAATGCTATTCATAGCATTCTCGCCCGAGTATCAACATATGTGTGGTATCGTGATGGCCCGAAATAGTGACCAAAGGGCGTCGGTGATCTATTAACGTCATGAAGCGGCGGTACATGTTATTCCAACCGCGTGCCGAATATCCTGTTCGTTCAGGGTACCGAATAAGAGATGCAGTAAGTTCTGCGAATTGTCGTAGGCACTTATGATATTTGGTCAAGAGCCAGCTCAATATCCGTAATGCCAAAGAGAACGGCGTTCTTCTTGGCCCATTGACGAGCGAGGATTGAAGCTGGGTCAAGAGTTAGTCAGAGGTCAATATGGAAGGACTGGATAGACGTACCCTTCAAGAACTTCTTGCTAGCATACTTCTTGAAGAAGGCCTCATGCACAACAGGACGAGCAAGGTAGTCGACCATGAGGTGGACGACAGGCTCAATCTCATCTTCAGTGTAACCGGCATAGTAAGATAGTGTGGCATCCTGCGACTGAGTTAGCGAATGTTTTGTTCTGATGTCATGTTTGTTTACGTACCCATTCACCACGATCGAGCATCAGTCGCGCCAGGTACATAGCACCAGCAGCAACGTGACTAGGTCGGTAGGCCATAAATCTGTGATCCAAGAGGCTGATCTCCATCAAGTACTTTCCGATGGTACGAGACTGGATGTCATAGTTGTCGGCCTTGGAAACTCGGCGGAGGAAGTTCATAGGGTTGGGGTAGCTCAGGTCGTAGTTGAGTGTGCTGAGAACAAATCGCTCGGCGCTGAGAATCTCTGCCTCACTGAAACCATCGTCGGCAATGCGCTTGAAGTTCTCGACATGAGGAGAGAGAACCTCCTCGTACTTGGACGCGATGAACATGGCAGTAATACCAACGAGCTGGAGACGGTCAAGCTGCACCACCTTCTCCGACAAGAATCGATCAATAACGTTGACGGCAAGGAAGAGGGTTTCCGGAAGAAGGTGGAAACGCGTGTGAACCTCGATAAGCCAGTCGACCAAGATACCACGCGTCTTCCACTCGAGATCGTCTTGGTGAGACATATATTGAGGGTTAGGAATCGACTTGCACTCGAGGTCGCGAAGATATTCGAAGATTTCGTTTGCGTACTCGGCAACCATAAGAGGGTCATCCATGTCCTCATCGTCCAAGTTCTTGACACCGGCAGGGAGCTTGATGGGCGCGTCTTGAGTTTCGATCTTCTCGATAGAGACTTCGGCCTTTTCAGCCTCGACTTCTTCGGGTGTCTGGGAGCGTTCAATCTCTTCAGGTGCGGCTGGCTTCTTGTGTGGGAGTTCGTTCTCGTCGACGGGGGCCTTTGGCTTGTCGGCTGCCACCTTTCGTTTGTTGATGGTACCAGCTCCATTGGCAACCTTAGTGGTAGTCTTGGTTGCTAGAGGTCTTGAGGGTCGAGCGGTCTTCTTCTCGATTCCAGTTGGCTGAGCAGCCTTGGAGACCAATCCCTTCGCCTTCTTTCCCGCTACGCCATCGGCTTTTCCAACGTTGCTGACATCGCCCAATGCAGCGCGTTTCCGCGTGTTGGCGGCGGCGGCGGTAGTACCGTTAACTGTGGACTTCTTCGTTTGTAGGGCAGCCTTAGCGGGCATTGATAGCTCGTCAACCTTGAGAGCAGCAGCCGCGGCTCTTGTGAGACGCGTTGTGCCGCTGTTCTCGTCGTTCTCGTTACTGGCGAGTCGCGTACGAGTGACCCGAGCCTGCTGTTTATGTTAGAATGACTGATTGATACCGAGAACCAGAGTCCTCGGTCGCGCTGCGACAACTTACTGTAGGCATCTTGGCTATCTAATGGTTGTTGATGGAATATTTACCAGGTGATGGCGCTGGGAAGACGAGTTAGTCGACGCGTCGAATAAGAACCACCAAAGAAGAAATGGCTGAGATCGTGACTGCAAGTACAAAGAGGGCCGCGAGTTGTTGAGACAGTGGAATCGGAAGAGGAATTTGACCACCAACCTTTGATACAAGCTTGGTGAAGACACCGTGAAAGGAATGTTTGTGAGTCGAGATGTATGGCGAGGCGTCTGATGCTGTATGTTAGTAAGGGGTGGTCCAGCCCGGATGAGACGCTTGTGCAAGGAAGTAAACAAGGTGTGATGTGAAAGGACAAGAGTAATGGGGGAGCATGGGGCGGAGACGATGTTTATGTTGAAGAACAGTTTATAGTTGTGAGGACGATGGAAGTGTTTTGACGAGCGGGTAAGGAAGATGGGTTGTGGAGATCCACTAGAGTGGGTACGTACCCCTACGCGGCTAGACAGGTCGCGTTGCTCTAGGTACGTCAGGTTTCCAAGCGTGATGTCCCACTACGAGACAAAGGATTGGATGTTGACGGGAACAGGGGGATGCAAAAAGCTCGGCTTTTTCTGGACTTGACGTATGGAAACGCGCCTTGAATTCTCGAACTGAACCGCGGCGTGCAGTAGCAGGAAAAATGCACAAAATCAAATAGGGCTGGAACGATGGATGCTCTCGTGCAGCGGAGGATGGACGTCGATGATTGACGGGGAATAGGAGGAGACTGAACAAGGATGATCAGACGGATGGTAGGCCTGTCCTGGAGGCAATAGACTATCGAGATAGTTTATGGAGAGAGAAGTGAGAGAGTCAAGGTAGAGTCAAATCAAATTAAAAGTCGGTACATGGACGGCGGTCGACGGACGGGTCTTAAGATTTAGTATGGAGGGGCGGGTAGGATGAGATCAGTCCCAAACGCGACTGCTTCCAGGTCAAGTCGCGAATGCCCTGGACCGGGCAATCTTGGAAAAGCTACGTACCAGTTCCGGCCGAAGTCAGTGTTTTTGTGGGACTGACTCCCTAGCAACCGCACATCAACGGCGATGCTATTGGCCCAGCCACGTCGCGCGGTCAGTTTTTAGTGGGACCTGGACTCGCGGGAGCCCTGTGGCAGATACGTGACGGCGTCTGTCAGTAATGTGGCGGTGCGTGTCTCCAATGTGGCTCAAACTTGTCCCGCCGGCACAAAGTTATTCATCATCCGAAGAAATTTCAACGTCTCCAATAAGGCCCTCTAACGACATCGACGGGTACAACTGGTGAGCGTTGGTGTGTTTGTGACGGTCTCGGACTATTCAATTCCAACCTCGCCGCCTACTTGAGATACATTGGGATCCAAAGAGTCGGCTTTGACCTCCAATCCTTCCGGTCCATCCTCGAACGAGCTTCTTTATCGAAAGTAGCTCGTCTTCCTCTCGAGCCGATATCGAAGCATCCACTTACGAACGCAAACCGGCCTCGATGAAGACCTACTGCTAATATCCTCGATATCTACGTTGACCGAGGCCCAAAATGCTTCAAACCGGTCTAAACTTCGCGGCAGCGAGGCAAAGCCTCCTCCGCTTTGCCCTGAACCGATCTTTACCTCGTACCTATGCGACCATCAGACGTTCTAACGAAACCACCGCCAGCCCGAAAGAACTCGCCGAGAACCCCGAGGCTCAAGCCGCCATTCTAAGAGTCTACAAACCACGGTCACCCGGTGTGAGACATCTTAAGCGACCAATTAACGACCATCTTTGGAAAGGACGCCCCTTTCTGCCATTGACATTCCCCAAGAAAGGTCAAGCCAAGGGTGGTCGAAACGTATCCGGTAGAATCACTGTACGACACCGTGGTGGTGGTGCGAAGAGAAGGATAAGAACCGTTGATTTCATCCGCAATCGACCTGGTCCTCATCTGGTGGAGCGCATTGAGTATGATCCCGGACGAAGCGCTCACATTGCTCTTGTTACTGAGAAGGCTACGGGACGTCACACCTACATCCTCGCTGCTGATGGGCTAAGGTCCGGAGATATCGTCCACAGCTACCGCGCTGGTATTCCTCAGGATCTTCTCGACAGCATGGGTGGTATTATCGATCCCGGTATTCTGGCTGCCAAGACCGCCTTCCGAGGCAACTGTTTGCCTATGCACATGATTCCTGTTGGTACTACAGTGTTTGCTGTTGGATCTGCCGCCAGACGTGGTGCAGTCTTCTGCCGCAGTGCTGGAACTTCAGCCGTGGTGGTTAACAAGAACGAGGAGACCAAGGATGACGGTACCAGAGTCATGACTGGCAAGTATGTCGAGGTGCGACTGCAGAGCGGCGAAGTTCGACGAGTCAGCAAGGATGCTTGTGCTACTATCGGTGTTGCCAGTAATATTCACCACCATTACCGCCAGCTGGGTAAGGCTGGTCGAAGCCGATGGCTCAACATTCGACCTACAGTTCGTGGTGTTGCTATGAACAAGGGTAAGATTGGCAAACACTTTGCAAGAGAACAATGATTGACATGATTTACAGTTGACCATCCTCATGGTGGTGGTAGAGGTAAATCCAAGGGTAACCGTCACCCTGTCTCTCCCTGGGGTGTTCCTGTAAGCCAACCAAATTGTCATCGTCTGTACAGAGTGATACTAACGCACTTTGAAGACCAAGAGTGGTTACAAGACCCGACGCAAGCACAACCGAAACAAGTGGGTGGTTGTGCCTCGACCTCGAAACAACGGAAAGCGCCGAGACAAGGCCAACTAAGAGCGTGCACAAAGGTGCGTGATGAGTTGATGGACGGGATGAAAAGCACATGCCAAGTCAACAAAGAGCTGGGCGCCAGTGCATTGTATATTACGACGCTGCATTGTACTATATGTGAAATTATAGATGAGGGCGCGGTGGGCGTCTTAATCAGAACCACGAGAAAACGATATCATATTACGGTGTGCCTCGACAGCAGATACAAGCTGGATGAACAGGCGGACCAGGTCGGCTTTGTCCTTAAAGAAACGACCACAGGCCAGCAAGTTCCGACGGCTCTCCGTTAAGTGTCCTCGGTAACCATTGTAGTCGATGTGTATTGTATGGAGGGGTCTTGAACGGTCAATGTTGCTCAAGAGTCAAGACGAGAGGCCCGCGACAAATTCATGACAGACAACCTTTACGAGACAAAGAGTTTCTGAGTGTCATCAGTTGAAAGCGCTGCATCCGCCTCAAAGCCGAATAACCGTTAGGCGTTGTCTGCAACAAAGGGTCAAGACATGCAGGCGATATTCTTTGAGTGTTCCATAATAGCAGGATCGTGTATCCGTAGACCGCTGTATAATACCTAAGTAGGCCAAGATCCGATTATCCGTGGTGTACGGAACAGCCAGTAGAAAAGCAACGTAAATAGCTCAAGCTCGTTTCTTGGACAGCACCCTAATTCCGCTGGCGGTAGACAAACCCACTGGGATTCCTTTGCACAGCCTCATTACATATGGATGGATGCCTCCACAACTTGCTGGGCGGCGAAAGTCAATGGGGCAGGACGGTAAGCAAAAACTAGCTAGGGAAGTAAAGATGAAGATCCAATATCGCAGCAGCTTTAATTGTGGTATGTCTGCCCGCAGTACGTACTGTATTTGTGGTTCGAGTTGGGATGAGCGACAAAGACAAGCTTTGCTTTTAATTGCGACAAAAGATAATCCGTCAATGCCGTACGCGATTGGACACCCAATTTTAAGGTTAATTCTCACCCGACAACCATGATTGGGCGGTCAGGTTCGGAGCTTCTAGACGGGAACAAATGAGTGCAGATCATGGCAGGGCTCAGCCAAGGGGGGCCATGACTTCCATTCCAAGGAATGACTTTCACGGGGCTGCTACCATGTAGATTGGATGGTATAAGTAGAGGAACATAGGCGACGCTCTAAATTGTCCGTGCCTATCAGGAGTAAACAGGTACGGTCGGTGTACGGTATCAATGTTGTAACCCAATGGAGCCAAGTGATTGACAGAATCCAAAACAGGGCAGTTCTGAGACAATAAGCGTGTGGTGACTAGGATTGTAGACAGACGGAGTAAAGGTATTTGTTTGAAGTGTTCTGTTTTTGATATCAGAAGATATGAGGGTAAAACCTGCAGGTAGGCTCATACAAGAACTTTCACGCACGTGGCATCTGGAATAGCATATCACGATATATTATTTGTTAGTACTCATGATGGCCACTCCGTTCTTTACGGACGAGCAAATGATTGATGGCTCACTCCGTACGAGTCTGTGCTGAGATTTAACGACCAGACTCCTTGGGACCCCGTCATTAGGTACTAAGTTAAAAAACAGTCGTCGATGAACGATGCGATGGACCATAAAGCGGGTACCACGCGAGCATTTTCCCCAATAAGGCTCCGTCCACGCCGCTGACGCTGCTGTAAGTACAGGGGCTCGTCATAGCCTCACCCTACAGCTTGCGCGGTATCTCTACTTGGCAATACCAGGCGCGCGCATGCTCAAACACAGAACTATCGAGGATAGTTGATGGCAAAAAGGCTGCTTGTCTGTACCTAGGGGGATTTGTAAAAGACGGGCCTTTAATTAACAGCATGAAGTCGTCCTAGCCCCCGTGATAGCTCCCCTGGTCAGCATGATTCTTCGGGCTATTTTGAGCTTCTCACCTCTAGCCCCTGCCCAGCTCGTAAATGTACCTGTACCTGTACCTGAGCCCTCCTAAGCCTGAGCCTGTAGTGCCGCGGGCTCCTGTCCACGTAACCCCCCAATTACCGAAGAGACTTCCATCCAATCCCCTGTGAGATCTATTCATTCAGCCCCGTCACCATTTCTGACATCAGTTTCTCAAGCAACTTCTAACAAAGTCAAAAACGAGCGCTCCCAGCCCAAATCAAGCATAGAATCAAGCATCACTGGCTCCCTTCTGTGGCTGATTCGAATGAGACAATTCATAAGGGCTTGAAAAAAGGGGCAACAATCCCATATACCACCATCATCTTTATAGTTTATGTCCATCATCGCCGAATTCATACCCGCATCCCTACTCCAAAGACCCTGGACTTTGTCGCATACCTACTAAGTCAGAGGTTCCAAAAACTCCTGCTGCTACTACTTTGCTTGGCCTGCCTTGGCTTAGTTAGCTGATTATCCGTACTTTTGCTCGTCCTCTTCGGCACGCGCACATACACACACCCGACTCTCTTTCTTCTGGCACGCCCCCAGCCTTTCCCCCCAGACGCAATAGACCTCCAGTCCTGAGCGTTCGCAGCAAACGGAAAACGGGGGGCTTTTTTCTTAACTTAAAGTGTGTGACGACAAGCCCCAGAGTTCAAATAAACATCCTCCCCCCGATTCGGCACTCGATCTTCTTCTCCCCTCCTTCTTGGTTGGACTATGCATTCCTATTACAAAATGGGCGACTCAGGTTTAGGAACGATATCTAATGGTTTGCGAGGTCGTCGCTTTCCTGTCCGACTCATCTTGTCCTACCTTTCCGACTGGCTTCTTTGTTTTGTCTTTGTCGGTATTGGAGGTTGGCTCGATAAAGTTGCGCCTGCCAAGCGACCATTTTCACTTGTTGACCCTAACATCTCGTACGTCCCGTCCCGTCAGATACCCACTACCACTATGGCGATAGTCATGAGTACAGCTTCAATGCTGTCTTCTCGCAACATGCTATGTCTGACTTTTTGCAGAAAGCTAACAAACATGATAGATACCCTTTTGCCGAACATGAACTCGTTCCAGCCTACCTCCTCTTCATCCTCGCCATCGGCGTCCCTTTCGTCATTGTCGCATTCGTTTCTTTGATTTTCGTTCCCGGACCGACTGTCCCTAAAGGCACCCCGAAGACCCTCATCTGGCAGCGCAAGATGTGGGAGCTTCATGTCGGTGTTCTTGGGCTCGTACTCTCCCTCACGCTGTCATGGTTCTTCACCAGCTCAATGAAGAACTTGTTTGGCAAGCCTCGACCGGATCTCCTCGCCCGCTGCAACCCCGACATCGCCAATATCAAGAAATACATTGTTGGTGGTTTCGAATGGAGCAGCATGACTGGACAGCTGGTTTCCGCCGACATTTGTCGACAGACAGATAAGTACAAGATCGATGATGGTTTTCGTTCTTACCCCAGCGGTCACTCTTCCTCTGCTGCCGGCGGTCTCATCTACGCTTCGCTCTTCATGGCCAGCAAGTTCGCCGTTACCATACCTTTTGTGATGCCCTCGGCTGCTTCTGTCGCGGGAGCTGCCAGTCATGCCGCCTTCCCCTCTCGCATCAACACTGGTCCCGTTGTCGATCCATACGAACCTTCACGCGCCCGTGGTCTTGACGGATCTTTCTCCTCTGGACCTAAGGGAAGCGCAGGACAAGAAAATGCCAAGGTTCAGTCTCTGCGTCGCCAAGCTGCTGCGCCTCCGATTTATCTCCTTGCTCTTGGCCTTGTGCCTTTTGGTCTCTCCATTTTTATTGCTGGCTCACGCTGGCACGATCGTCGTCACCACGGATTTGATATTCTCTTCGGCTATTTGATGGGTCTTATTGCCGCCATCTTCGCCTTCCGCTACTACCATTTGCCCATCCGTGCTGGTGCAGGCTGGGCATGGGGTCCTCGAAGCGATGAGCGTGCCTTCTGGGCTGGCGTTGGACGACACGGTTATGCCGGCACAGACGAAGAGCTTGGCTCATACGCGCCAACACGCCGTGATACAGCCGTGTCCGGGGACACGTCATACCCACCTATGACTTCTGCTCTAGCACAGCGAAATACTCGTCCTTCTTCTAACCAAGAAGAACCTCGCCCAAGCCAGAACTTCCAAGACGTGGAACTGCAGCGCATGGACGACTCAGACCGTCTGGAAAATAGGTTTCCTGATAACCGGTTTGCTGAGAGCCGGTATGGCGATGCTCATTATGCCGAAAACCGTCTTTGAGCTGCGAGCTATATAGAGACAGCAGTTTGGGGAGGAAAGTGATGCTGTAACATTCTGTATATGTGTGATTTTCCAAATGTTACGTGTACGTATACCTGGGTTCAGGGGCAGACCCTATAGGGTCTCGGGCAGGGTTGGATTTCCTTTTTTTCTGTAATAGCGGAGCGAAAGGTCTGCGCACAGATAGATCACTTGATATTTGGCACGATGTGATACGAACAATTGAATGATTGAATTATACCGATTACTGAACTTCACATCGATATGGCTGCTCCATGCGGATGGGCTGACCATCCGAGCGAGTTGAGCCTCATCTTTATATAGAAAGCTTAGTTGCTGTTAGTCTTGTAGGTTCGCCACGGGACTTTGTGTAGTAGAAAACAAACGCTTCTTATTGAACAGCTATAATTCAGAAAGTACCATTTAACCCATTTGTGGTTTACACCAACCCTGCCAGCCTTGCCCTACATGACTTGCCGCCAAACGCCAATCCAGAACCGAACCAACAGCCACGAAAGCAACAGAATAGTCCCTCCTCTCAGAGGCGACGAATGTTTGTCCAGTAGCAGATCCATGTCCCTTCAGTTGAACCGACGAGGCATTGAAAAAGTGAGGATGGGTCTCGGGCATGTTCGTATATGCCCCTTGCGCCAGCTCATCCTGTGCGTTTATGTGACTAGTTTTTTGTTTTTTGTTTGCCGGTGCCTGACATGCACTCTAATCTTCAGAAATGGGTTGACCATCTTCCTAGAGGCCCTCCACGACAGCCATGCGGCCATCTATTCCCTCAAACTCGAGTTCCTCATCATCGTCCTCCTCTTCATCCTCCATCTCGTCACGGAAGCCAGTGTCAATCTCAAGCTTGCGAAGCCGGCGACGCATCTCGTCGCGCTTAGAGCTCTGCCAGCGAATCAGAGCGGCCGAGGCGTGCACCTTGAAGCCGTAGACGCGGGGTACGTAGCGGTCCACGCTCTTGGTGGGGATGAGGGCGGGATATACTTGGAAGAGGATGTTGTGGAACGAGGTGCCAAAGTAAGCGCCGTCGATAGCGGCATGGCGCGACGACTTGGGGTTGTAGATGTCTTCGCATCGGGCGCAGTAGAGCTTGACGGGCTTCAGGTTGGGCACATCAGAAAGACCCATAGGAAGGAGGGGGTGGGAGTGACACATGACACGAGGGCATTTTCCAAACTCGGCTTTCTTGTACTTGTCTAGCTATATTGGCGTCAGCAGGTGATTGATTAGATGGGTGATGATGGTGAATATACGCACCATTTTCGATAGGCCTCTAGTCGTAACAATATAGCGGGCATGCACAAGACCGTAGAGGTGTCTCGCAGATTTCTCTATGGCCTCGCGCATCTCATCGTCGCACTCGAGATCAAAGACATCGGTGACGAGATCTAGCGCATATTGGTAGTACTGAACCTCGGTGTTGAGTCCTGTCAAATTGAACCTGTCGGTAAGGTAGTCCTCGTCGATTTCGCAAAAGTACTCGTTGCCTCTCGATGAGATGAACTGCAAAGATGTCTGATTAGCATGTGAAATTTCGAAGGCAAAAAGAAGAGGACCCCTGTGACCCCGCGCTTCCACTGTCCATCACGATACCGTGATAGCGGGCAGCGATTGACATCAAGGATGCGTGGTCGTGGAGGTCCGACATGTGCGCGATGGACTTACCCAATCCCTCCAGTAACTCGTGTAGTCACTGTCCGACTCGCTCACATAGTCATCCATCATGCTGGGTGCGGAGAAGTAAGGGTAAAGCTATTGACAAAGGCAGCTCAAAGACGAGCTACCATGTCCTAGCTTAAGCTGAAACCGCTGGGTTGTTGATGCGCGAGACTCGATGGGAGTCCTGATATTATTGATTTGAGTTGTGCGTGAGCGTTGGGGTATCGTAGGATATCGTCTTGTATGTGTCGTTTCGTTTCGTGTCGTAGAGATCGTTTTTCGTTAAACCCTGACCTGGTCGGCGGTCTTGCGTGGTCTGGGCTTGAGGTTACTGTAGGTCGGTAGGCTTGGGCTGGATTTGATGGTGGGGTTGCAAAAGCCGTCTGCGTCTGCGTCTGCGTCTGCGTCTGCGTCTGCGTCTATTCTCCTTGTCCTTCTGCATTTGCGATGAGATGGATGGCCGCCTACTGAAAACGATCAGGTAACGTGACTTGGTGGAGTACGTACCTTATCATTGACCTCAACGCTATCGATGTCCAATACCACCAATACCAGCCATGTCTTAACTAAAGAAAACATATCTTCTTTATTTGTTGATTACCGTACTGGTTATCGCCTAGACTGAATATTCTCCGAACGTTACGAGACCGAGTTTCTCTTCGAAGCATGGAAGGTTCAGTCAACATCGTGTTACGACTCTCAACTACGACGCTCTATTCTACCTATTATAGATATTTGGCACCATAATTCACCTTGGGATACATTGATACGAATATAATGAAACAATCCTAATAATCTATTTCCTCTATTCCTGCAATGTCTTTTCCAGATGATTCTCGGCCGTAGATCTTCTTCTAAATACCACAACCAAGCCAATCCCAGTAACAATATCAAGCTCCCAAGTTGAACTCCGATGGCTTCCAAAACAAAGTCATATGCGCAAAAGATGTGTTACCATCTATGTGGCGCTAACCGTCGAAGCGACACTACCTCCATCGCTTCCAGAACGTCTCTCGGATTCTGAGGTTCCGTCCTCGTCGCCACTTGTCAAACTAGTTCCTCCGTTCGTTGCTCGCGACGATGGGATCTGAAGTCGGCTTCCTATACCGTCATGTCCTGAATCTTGCTTGAGTACCACCTCGACCATCTTCATGGTCTCTTGTAACGTTTCACCCGTTTCATCCATGGCCGCCAAGAAACGTGCAAGTTCTTTACACAGTTCCCAGTCGCCTTCCCGCATCGCACGAGATAACAGTCGCACCGACTGTTCAGTCGAGGAACCCAACTCGTCCAGTGTGTGCAATATGATGAGATATCCACCCGCTGTCTTCAGAGATCCTCGCTGCAAAGACTCCTCAAATAGTTCTTGAGCTTGTGGCAGATACGCGAAGAGCGTCTTCCATTGCCGAACCTCAGTCTTGCGCGTGCATTGTAATACAATGTCGAGATACTCCTTAAATGATGATAAGAGGGACAGTACGCGAGGTAGTACAGCATCCACAGGCTGAGGGGAGGTGTCCACCTCTTCGTCCAACACACGATGTAGCAATATTTCGAGTCCATGTGCAAAATACTCAAGTTCTTTGTACTGGTGTGCCAAGTTTGATGCTTCAACTGACCTGCTTTGCCTTAGGTAGAATCGTAACAGATCTGGGAGTATCAGGTGTGTCTGTTCATTGTTAGCTACAGAGTCATTGGCATATTCTGGGAAGACTTACCCTGATTGCGAAATGAAAATACGAAAAGTTAACATCGCGGCGCTGGACAAGGTCGGATTCAACTCCCAGTATTATTCCCTTTTCTAATAGAATGGAAAGGGGGTAGAAATCCACGGGAATAGACACAGGAGATGGCGACTCTTTGCCGTTTTCCCCAGTTACATCAAGCACTTCACTAATGTCTGGCCAAGCCTTGAGCTCCATCCCGTCAAATACCCATAAAGAATCTTTCAAAGCTGGCGGTCCGTTTCGCAGCGGGCTGTCTTCTAATTGTCGGTTCGCATTTCGCAACGGTTGATCCCTGACGCTGGCGTGGTACTCCACGTTTTGTGCAATAACACGCATATCGTATTTGAGCTGGCCCTCGTCATTCAGCGATGGCCGCAGTAGGACGAGCTTTCCGTCAACAAGAAAGATTACCGAAGCAACAGCGACGTCTTGGGATGGATCGCCGTCAGTTAACTGCGTATCGGGCAATATCCAGCTCAAACCTCGGACTCGGGCCGGGGATCTGACAATACCGTGGAACGCGATCTGTCCCACTTGAACAAGCCGTATAGAACCCCCATGGGGTGTAAAGATGAAGTGATATAGTAAGTTCTCGTACGTATAAACAAGAAGTGAGTCCTCGCCAGAAGTAGTGACCAGCACCACAGGAGCCGGGACGGTCTGAGTATGCAGAGTCTGGGCTGAATCAAGTGCCGTCTCGCGAGAAAAGAGTCGTAGCTCAAATTTTCTGTTTGCCTCTACCGCGGCGACAAGGATATGCTGGTGCCAGCACATGCCACCTCTAACTTGGAATTCGTTCTCCATAGACTCACTGGCAAATGTCTTCCATCGCCCACTGTTGACACTGTAATGAGCAAGACCGCGACGACCTGCTACGGCAACGTATCGGCCATCTGGAGATATGACTGTCTGCCGTATGGGCCACTGATTCAAGAGGTACGCCGGGGGTACCTTGGCTGTATGCCATAGGAAAGGCTCCGCCGAAATGCTGGTGAGATCAGGAACGTCGTACCCCCTGTAAACCATGACACTTGAGGGCGTTTGCAGTACTGTCCGAAAGACGTTTGCTTCGTTGTAACATCCAGTGACAGCATTCTTGGCCATCTCGAGAGACCATATTGCTTCATGCTTGCGCGCTGTCATCAGAATTTCGGAACCGCCACCCACCCAGGTAGCTCCAGCTATTCCAGATAGCCAGTCCTCTCCATTAGCGCGTGACGTCGATTCCTCGGATCCAAAACTATGACTTCCGAGCTTACCAAACATACTCCAGGTTGACCAGCCCTTTTCAAACCCTGCGAAAAGACAATAGCCATCGGGCGAATAACTCAAGGTGGTAAATGCGCCTGAAGACGCGGTTGAAACAGGAACTTGGTGAGTGTGTGAATGAGGAATGTTGCCAACGTAGTCGCGGACAGAATAAACCTGCACCGTACCATCACAGCAGCCCACAGCAATAAGTGAGAATCGTGCGTTGATGACAGCCGTAATAGCGCGGTCATTCTCGCCCTGAGGAATATGAAAACAGTGGCCCTTGAACAGGCGCTTCGCATCTGGATCGTCGGCCTGGCTGCTCTCTGCTCGATGGTTGTATCGCTGAACTGCATAGGCGCGCCCACTGCTGGTGATCCATGTCAACAGGTTCATAGGGCGATCGTGTGTCATTTCAACAATAGTAGCCTTCTTCTCAACCCATCCCATGCGGCTAACTATCTCGGTTCTTGTCTGCGAACCTGTACTGTCTGGCGTCCAGCGGATGCATTGGACCGCAGCAGGTTTTCTTGTCGATACCATAAGTTCATCGTCGAGGGCAAGCGCACTTTCGATACCTGCATCGACCTTGATAACCATTCTAAAGCGTACACTCAGGTCACGAACCCCTGGTCCTTCGCCAGCACCCCATAGGATCTGATCAGGGGGTAGTCCGGTGAGACCTCCGATGAGACTCTGTCTGCGTCGTTGAACATTGCTGTAATTTGCAAAATGAGGCTTGTAAACACGCGAATCCGAATCGGTGGCTAGGGAGTAAGTGATGAGATAGCCTTGATCGGTATGTATGACGAGAATGGCAGCGTCAGGCCTTAGCAATAAGTCAACATTCCTGCCGTATGTTTCAAGGGAGTAATCTGATCGAATAACCACAGCGAGGATAACAGCGGGCTATATCTGTCAGCAAGGAGGGAGATGCGCAACGAGGTCTAAAGACCTTACTTTAGTTTGCCAAATCGTTATCGAAGTTGTCGTGATAACAGCAAATAGGTTGCCGGTTCGCGAGACTCGTAACGCCAGTATAGGATCTTTTAAAGGAATACCGCCGGACTCGGTGCTCTCTGAAATTTGCGGAGGTTGGCTCGTTGCATAGTCGTCATGTTCGACAGGTCGAATTCCTGGAGTTATGGGCGTCGGTAGTGGTGGAGAGTCGAGAGCATCGAGGGGACCGCGGGGCTGAGAAGTCGAGGGACCGGGCGATGGCGTTAAGCTAGAATCGGAGGGACTCGTGAGTCCATCGTGAGATACGAAAAGTTTGAAGGCCGGAGATCGACTGCTGCTGGTAGCATGAATACGTGGTGTTCCAATGGGCCAGTACATTGCGACAGCTTAGCTACCTAGGAAGCTAAGGGTAGCTGTAGATGTGGATGCGCGATGCTTCTGAGCTCAGCGCTTCGGTTGGAAAGATGTCGCTGCAACCGAGACCCAATCATGACCCTAGGCGTTATCTGGCTTGAGAACTGGCTCCTTGGCCCATTGAGTTCTGGCGATAATTGCAAACCGAGGATATTGAAGGTGATAGTGGGTTGTCGTTCTGTCGCAGGTGAGCTCCTACCCTTAGGGATGTTGTCATGGTAGAGCCCCATTGGCGGGTCGCTAGCTTACTAAGGTTACTTGCTCCTTCCAGCATTCAGCATTCCATCCATTGCGCCCTGATATGGCAAGTACTACTGAATGTACCAACCTAGTGGAGGTAACTTCACCTTAACATTTTGTCTTGCAAAACATCATCAGCATCAGCATCAACATCAATCCTTTTTACAATTACACATCTAATACCACTTTATACACAGACTTTCATCCCCATATTTTCTACCTTCTGTATCCCTCAATCGGCACCTGCCTGCCTGTCATCTTCCGTCCAGACATTAACTCATACATTCCAACGAACAAGACACAATGGGAGCAAGGAGAAGGAAAGCAAAGTAAAGGAAATGCGATGGACGCTGCACACGCCTATCTTAGCAACATCGATATGCGCCAGAAATCTTTGGAGGCAGCGGTCGACCAGCATCCCAAGGTTGACGATGACCGGTTCATCTTGATCTGAAAGCGGATCCTTGAACTACACCGTGGCTGCATGGGCAGAGCATCAAATTCAGCAAAAGATGACGAACTGATACGAACTCAGATTTGTCCGTAACTAAAGGCCTTGCACTTGCACTGCCCTTTATCCATCCTGGTAAGGTTTGTTCCTGTCTTCAAAATACACAATTATTGTCCGTAGGGCATTTTGATCACGAATGTCTTCCGCGAATGCTTTATCCGGGCATATTTTCGTTGTTACCAAGATTTCAAAGTGAAATATCCTGTATCACAGGGTCGGTCGATGTCTGATCTCCTTTTCTCCCAAATGCAGGTGGAGCTGCAGCCGCAACCCACTGAATGATTTCCATGGTCTTACCCGGGTCACGCATGAGACCAGAGGAGAGCGTGATTGCAGACTCTTCGCTGCCTGAATGATTTGAGTACTGGGATCCAGGTCCTGACATAAACTTGAGATCCATCAAGCCTGGGTTGGGGAGAAAGTCCAAGTGACTGACGGAAGATATCGAGTCCAATAATCTGCTTGTACTTGAATTGCACGGCTCCGACGGAAGAGCCCCTTCTTCACTAGTGATCCTGTCGGATAGTTGTCTGGCTCTCGCTGTGGCAGGCACCATTATGACCACCGCGGATGCGGCCATCGCAATCAAGAAGATGTATTCGCGGAGTCCTGTTCCCAGGTCGTTCAGAGATGGTGGGTATACCGTAAGATAACAGGGTCCAGAAATGATAAACCCAAGAGCAAGGAATACAGCAACAAGGTCGAAACGTGCTCTAAGATGCAGCTGTCAGCTCCTTCTTTCAACCCCCAGCACGAAGCGCCTACCGTTGGAAGGCCGACGCATTCATCAGGACGGAGACCAGTCCAAACACGGCCAGCAGTGAGAAGATCCTGAACGAAGTCAGATGTGCAGCTTCCAATAGTCTTGTGTTTCCTTACACAGCATCGAGATGAAAACTTCGAGGCAGCTTCAAGGCAACAGCAGCACCCAAGAGCATCCCGCCGGTCAGGGTGAACAGAACATGATACACGATCTGCCGTGAACCAGTGCCTACTGTCGGATGTATGCTCTCCATGGCGATACGCAGCCTGGACTGGACCTAGGGGGAAAAGAAACAACGGTTTACAAACCGTTTGCAAAAATTACACGATAAACCCTTATCGAAAGCAACAATGACTTAGGCGTAACGAACAATGTGGCCACGGTCAGACATATCCGTCGATTTCGAGGTTCTTATATCCATTGGTACCCAATCCGTCAGCCAAGGCTAACAAGAGCTTTCGAACCCTCTTATTGATTCGTATCAATCAAAAAGATGAGGCGAGCACTTCAGTCAACTAAAGGGAAAGCGCCTCGTTTCCTCGGTTCTGCTTTATCATGAATGATTGGTTGTGTGTCTGGAGTGACAAAGGACGGACATGCAACATTGTCATTTAGGGGTGTACCAAAATGGCAAGTCTTCTTGTTGCTTACACCCAACACAGTGAAGGCCTATCTAGATGACCCACGTATAAGGCGATGAAGTTGATTTGGAGTTGAGTGGTGAGCGGGCGAACCATATGAGGCTGAAATGATTGGTGCAGATCTCTGTAACAACTTCGCAGCCGAATATGCCCTGCAGCCATTTCGACCCAAGATGCACCAGCCTGGTCGTCAGGCAGAAACGGATTGGAACATGGTAAGCCTCACTATCACGAAAGGATTGACGCCAAGTCTCGGTCTTTGGTCATTCTGCGAGATAGCAAGGTCTTTGGCATAAACAACATTGTTCTTTTGCAAAGTTTCAAGGTATTGAGGCCCGCTTATGTGGCCGTATTAAGAAACCAGGCATATGACTTTTTCGACTTTGGAATGGCTGGCCACACTTATAAGACTACCCTGGCCCAGGTATTCCGTGCCTGGAAGAGCGAGAGCAGATCAACTGACTCGATGCTGCTTCCGCTTTTCTAACTCGTTCTGCGAGTCCCTCAAACTCATGTCAATTCATCCAAGGGAACCTTTTCGAGCGTCTGGGAGAACATCTAGTCACCATGTGTCGCCTGTCCAACTCGGGTTTGACTTGATTGAACTGCTGCCAGCAAGTGGAAGTGCTTGGGTCATGTCGAATTTCATGTACCGATGGCATTCAAGCACCTACGCATCGAACACTGTGAGTAGAACTGGGTGCGTGTTTGCGCCTGAACCTCTGTCATACCACAAAACTATGACACCCAGTCAGACTGCTCCCAATAGAAAGAAACTGACGCATTGGATGATGCCAGACGCGGCCACCAACAACTCGCACCCAGCCTTTAGTGTTGCAATCTCAGTGGCATGTGCTCGCGGCTTGTATCATATACGGCTGTTCAGTTGCGTCGTTTCTCCGTCGACGACGTCTCCGAGATCCGAACCTACCATTCATCCTTTCAGTGTGTTTACTCCCCAGTATGCTGCTAGGGAAATGCGCTGGGGCAGGTCTCGACTATATCATGCTGGTCCATGTATCGTGGGCAACGTGCCTGGCGATGTTCGCAAGCGTGGCATATCTTCATCTCCAGCCTCGACTGGGTAAACAACACTGAACTGAATGCGAGGAGACATCAGATGAGGGTATGTTAACTGCCCGGGCCTGACAGCTTCACATCGTCGAAGTTGCTGTTCGGTATGGTTTCATTTGTTATTTTTATGGTAAACATGAACCCGTCCGTTTGGAGATGCGAATCATCAAGTATGAGATTCACAACTTTGAAGGATTTCATTGCATGTATGATTTATTTCCTTTGAGTTATGACCTCGCAGTGAATTGGTTTCACTCGAGTTTAGACGAATATGTATGGTCTCTTATCACTTATCACCAGGTATACTTTGCTTGAACTGGTAACTGTAGAGTCTAGGTGGGAACTAGGCACGCTAACTAAGCATGACATGGAGGGCGCAGTGACGAAGCAAAGGGCGTGGTCAAGTGCCGATGCCGTAGCGACAGTTTGACGGCCACCGCTTCTATTTGCAGTCACGCGCAACGTAACACAGTAAACAATTAGACAATTGAACCAATCGTACGTAATAGATAACACAATACAACAAAGAAATCTGTCCCCGTGAGACGTCCATGACACAAACCCCCGCTCAGAAATCCGGGGCCCCGATATAGGGTATCCGGGATACAGCGCGGCTAAGATCGGGGGCGGCTCATGTCCGCCCGGCACCGGCGACATGATGAGTATCTAATGCATATCACCCGGATCCGAGATAACAGTTGGTTATCTAAATATCTTGCATCTTGATTCATTCGTAACTTTCAAACCATCTCTACGTTGACGATTCTGTCCAACACTATCTACATCACAACCCCTCAATACCACTTACACCGTGTACAACTAACCTTCGACACAATGCTTCCAGCTGTTAGAGCAGCCAGGCTTAGGCCACTCATTAAACACAGCCGTCTACTTCACAACAGTTCGAAACAGTTGTCAAGTACCGAAACTGCACCGGCTGCTCGTCCAGCGCACTATGATACCTCCCAGCAACTATCAGCCATCGACGCAGTGAAGGAGAGACGACTCAAGGCCGGCAAATTGGTCGCTGGAGTCGCTGCTGCCTCGGATAGTGACATGTTCAAAGGCCCGGTGAGTTTCAAATCTTGAGTGCGTATGCGGACTGAAGCTTACAATGGTCTCATAGACCACTGGACTACCAAAGTCTAAGCGATGGGATAGTATGTCTTACCCCATGATCCGGGAACGGGAACGAAGCTTATGACTTACAAATTCTTGCAGACCATCTCAGTCATGAGAGCCGAGTAAGAGAACCATGTACTCTCAAACAAGCAGCTCGCCATATGAAAAAGCCTGGCCTCATCTCGCTAGGTGGTGGTCTACCATCCAGCGAAGTCTTCCCCTTTGCTGAGCTCGGCTTCAAGGTCCCAGTGGCCCCCAAGTTTTCAGAAAAAGACACAGAAGAGGCTGGACAGACCGTTACAATTGGAAAATACGACGTGAGAGACCGTGGAGGTACTTATGATTTGTCCATCGCTTGCAATTACGGCCAGGCAACGGGATCTCCTCAGATGATGAGATACTTGACAGAACACACCGAGATCGTGTACAAGCCCCCTTATGCGGACTGGAAAGTGTGTCAGACCATTGGAAGCACTGGAGCGCTGGAGGAAGCACTGCGAATGTTCTGTGATAAGGACCGTGGCGATGCTGTGCTTACTGAAGATTTTAGCTTCTCTACTGCTCTGGAAACAGCTGGACCTCTTGGCGTCAAGGCTTTTGGTGTTGCTATTGACGAGCAGGGTCTGATCCCTGAGGTTATGGATGAGCTGTTGTCGAACTGGGATGCTAAAGAGCGAGGCTCCCGGAAACCCCACCTGCTTTATACCGTTCCCTCAGGCCAGAATCCTACAGGCGCAACTCAAGGAACCGAGAGACGAAAGGCCATTTATGCTGTGGCACAGAAGCACGACCTATACATTATCGAAGATGAGCCCTATTACTTCCTTCAGATGCAGCCCTACACCGGCCGCGATCAGCCCGACGTTCCACCACCAGAGACAGTAGACGAGTTCGTCTCTTCGCTTATTCCTTCACTTCTGAGCATTGATGTGGACGGTAGAGTCATGCGTATGGACTCATTCTCGAAAGTACTCGTTCCGGGTTCACGACTAGGATGGATCACAGCATCCGAGCAGATCGTGGAGAGATATATTCGACATGCCGAGGTTGCGAGCCAAGGCCCTAGTGGTTTCTCTCAAGTGATTCTCTATAAGCTGCTTGATGAGACATGGGGACATGAGGGTTACTTGAGATGGTTGATGAACTTGCGATTGGAATATACCAAGAAGCGAAACGCCCTCCTTGCCGCCTGTGAAGATCATCTGCCAAGTGATCTTGCCAGCTGGACGCCTCCTGTAGCTGGAATGTTTGTAAGTATCTTTCAAGTCATGTGCAACCATTGTTCTATCAACTTACTCTGTACCAGATGTGGATCAATATCGATCATACAAAACATCCCCAAGCAGGAACGCGAAGCATCATCGACATAGAAGAGGAGATTTTCAATTCTTGTATCGAGAATGGTGTGCTCATCGCAAGAGGCTCGTGGTTCTTGACTGAGAAGGACAAGGCACCGCCAGGACTGTTCTTCAGAGCAACTTATGCATCTGCTACGCCCGAGAATATGAACAAGGCTATTGATAGGTTTGGAAAGGCCGTGAGAGATAGTTTTGGGAGAAAGTAAATGATTGTTTGGTATTGAAATGCCCAAGAAGGGCTGTGTGATTTATAGTCATAATAAGCATGTAGCAAGTTTTAAATTGCACACACCGAAAGAGAAACAAAATTTCGGTATTATCCAACACGTTTATCCGCGAAAAACATGAATTATCGTGTCAATCACCTGATATAAGATTTCATAAACTCATAAGATGCTCAATAAGCCATCCTCTGCTTACTTCTCAGCCTCCCAAAAGGCAACTTTGACTCCCTGGCCTGGCGAGAGAACAATATCTGCCTTGAGGAGAGGCTCTCCACCGTCAATATCCTTCATCTGACTCTCCACATGTTCGTACTTCTGGAATAGGCGGCAGAGAACGTAACTCATTTCGGTCAATGCAAACTGCTGACCGATACAAATTCTGGGCCCAGCGTTGAAGGGGATGTAGTCATGTGGCTTGGGGTGCCAGTGTGCCCATCTTTCTGGGCTAAAGACTTGAGGATCGGCGAATATGTCGCTGACAGGAGGATACAAATCTGATCGACGCTGCATCACAAGAGTTGAGTATGCAACGGGCGAGTCCTTGAGAACTGGGAGTGGCTCGGAGCCATCTGGGCCACCGCCTCGGGGGAGCGTTGTGTCCTTGAGAGCTAGACGGACGTTGAATGGCACAGCTGGATACAGTCGAAGGGTCTCGTTGAGAACAGCTTTGAGATAACTCATACTCTTGAGATCTTCGTACGTAGGCGTCCGCTCAGTGCCAAGCGTGGAGATGATTTCAGCACGTAACCTCTGGACAGCTTTGGGGTGCCTTCCAAGCTCATACAGGGTCCAAGAGAGAGTCGCAGCAGTAGTATCCCTTCCCGCCAGGAGGACGGCAATGATCTGATCGCGGAGCACCTTACGATCGCGTGTGAAACCTGCGAGGGCGTGGAGGAAAGTGTAGCCGTGGTCATCTTTCGCCTTGGAATTCAGCTCTTCAGGACTCAGACGCAATGCGCGCTCGATGTAGAAGTTGATGAAGTGGTTTACGGTACGGAGGCCGCGCCAGAACTTGTACTTGGGCATGATATGGCGGAGCTTTCCAGTGCGTGCGATGATGTTCTGGATCCGCTGGACGTCATTGAAAGCTTCTGCAAACTCTTGCTTTGGTGTACTGAGGTTACATGCGTCAGTTATCGAGGCGATATGTGCACTGAAATGCTGTACTCACGTCAAAGACTTGACATCCCATCCTAGGAGGAACTCGGTGGCCACATCGAGAGTATAGCGGAAGAACAGATCACTGATGTCAAGAACCTTACCATCCAACTTCTCTGTAGGAATAGCCTGGTCTTCCCCATGAAGGGGTCCTCTATTCGCAATAGCCTTGAACAGCGTCTGCATGTGGGCCTCGAAGCAATGCAAGTCACTCACTCGATCTCGAGTGAACTGAGGCCTAATAAGTTGGCGACTCGCATGCCACGAAGCACCATCGGTAGTGAAGATACTGTCGCCGAGGAAGTCCTTCCATTCCGCATGGAACGGCATCCCTTTGCCGTAGTCACCAAATTGCGTTGCCAAGATAGCTTTGAGGTTGGCTGGGTCGGCGGTGAAGATGTGTCGAACACCTAAGAGCCGGGCTTCGACCGTCCAGGAATTCATCGCACCAAACATACCATCGCGCCAGCCTGTCAGATTTTGGTGCTTCATGGTTGACGCAACGAACTTGGCAACGATGTCGAGACCTAGGAGCCAGATGAGTATTCAAACAGACTGCTCAACATGTACACAGAATAGGAACGGACATACCCCAGGGAGCATATGATTTTACGCATGGCCCATAGTGACCAAGACGTCTGATTCTTCGGTGCTCATCGATACGGCAAATAATGTAGTAGACCCAGTATGCGACGAAGAGGATGGTGAGTGCAGCCTTTACAGAGACTTGCTCTATAAGAGCTTCCACAACACCCATACTGACGTGTCTTGCCAATGGGCTCGGAGGGGAGAAGAAGTTTCAAAGGGGTTGTCTAGTTAATTTATGAGTAGGTATGGGATGAATTAGTCCCGTGGGTTTAATAGATAGATGGTTGATCAAGTGGGTAACGCTATGAACCCACAGACTTCAGGAATATAGTCTTGACACTAGACATGAGTAAGTAGTACAAGGAATCCACTCGCTCTCAAAACGTGGGTTTTGGTTCCGGGATCCGGAAGGCTATAAATACGGAAGATGCTCATATCATATGCCAACTGCCTGTCAACTCTTGTCGAGAGAAATATCGCATTTCTGCAAGCAGGACATTCTGGAAACGGACCTGTCTGGACGACCGAGTCTCCGTCCCCGCAGTTCCTGACAGAGAAGGAAGAAGATCGAGGATACGAACGTAACCGAGAGCAAGAAACGAGACGTCACCCTCGAAACTCCTCCCTGAAGCGGTATAGAGTGACTCTATGGGTTCTCTGCCGAGACGTGCCCAACGTCCAAGCAATGTGATCGAGGGCGATTGTACCGCTTAGAACCGTACGTATATGCATGACTTTGTCGTAATTAGGTATGCAGGAAGGAAAGTTTTTTACCCTTTGCATGGTATGGCGGGGTCATTCATGTTTCACTATGCAAAGTCCTCGATATTCCTTGTTCGGGTTTTTCTCATTTGACGAATTGGTGACCATGCTTGATTGAGTGATCCTCAAGCTGTGAACACTTTAATAAGCCATACCAAGCAAAGTTCAAGCTTGTGAAAGCCATTGATGACTTCTTCCACAACTCCAATCGCTTGTTGATCTCTAAAGTTTCTTTCTTCTCTTCAAGATCGGAGGCGGAGAAGCCACTTTCGGATCAAAACACTGGCGGGGGTTGGCGAGGATTAACTTAGTTAACGATCAGGATACCCGATTCGGAAACTCGAGCTAGAAGCATACGTTATGTCTCCACGGACCACAACCCGATGTTTAGGTCAACCTCAACCCCATCAATGGAAGGCGATTTGTGTTCTTGACAACTCATTGGGTGCGTCTGCCTGGCCAATCATTTATTCTCCTCTTCATCCCCGGATTTTTCACATGCCGAGCTGTCGCGACCATCATCATTTGGACGTAACGTCTCGAGACCTGAGATGCGACACGATACCACCCATACGGGGCCCGCGGTGCTCCGGTATTCACTTATGGAACGGCGTATTTCCTTCGAAGGACTAGTTTCCTCCATCTGCTTGCCTTTGCTTGGACTGGTTTGCGAGGCCATCGGAGCCGGCCTGCCCCGCTGTGCCGCTCCTGACGCCGAGGCTCCGGCCCCGCATTCCATCCGTCCCCGTTTTAGTCAAAGACAAGGGAGCGATGCGAAGTCATGTAAGTAATGAGAAAGAGGTGAAAGGCCCCCTTTCGGTTCAATGGTTGAAAACAACTATGTACAAAGTAATTGTAATAAGTACGTATGCATCGTGCATCAATTCATCATCCCTCGAACTGTGCGCACTCAGTCGCATTGCCCTGGGTACAGAAGGGCATCTGAATCGGCGAAGCACTCACGCCTCGAGCCACCATACGCTCGCGCATCTCAGCCAGTCGAGGTGCAGCATCATATTGCGACCTGTTCTGACCTGAGGCGTCAGTTCGGCCTGACCAGAGAACCTCGCCCATTACTGCAGCGCGGGGCCACACAATGGTATCGAGGTTGACGCTGTCAATGGTCTCAGTCCATACTGCCGCCTCACCACCAAGCACCCGCTTGGCCGCCTCCTCAGACAGGCCAGCTCGGGGGTCGTGTGAGTAGATGAGCCGCCAGCTCTTGGTAGGTCCGCACCAGTCATTGAAGGGGTAGTATGTCTGGAAGGCCTCACCGTTGTCAAAGTTGAGCCACTGCCCACGGCCACAGTCGAGATACTGTTTGTTGTCAGTCGAAAAAGCTCTTTAACTATGCATCTCGATAAGAACTCACCCAGAAGTTGTAATCGCTGTCAATCACCTTGTGGCCAGCCTCGGCCAAGGTCTTGATAGCACCGCCACCGAGCCAGGACTGAATCACAACATCTTTACCCAAAGTCATGTTCCACTCGGTGATCATCTCCTCCCAGACGAACGGAGTCATGCCAGCATCTCGAACCTTGCCGTGGGTGTAATCGACAAACTTTTGCAGAAGAGGCGCCAGGACTTCGGTCTCGTTGGAGCGCACATCGGGGTCGAGTCTAGAATCGTTGTGGTTGAGCTCATCTCCACCAAGGTGGAAGTAAGGGCTGTACTTTGAGATTCGAGGGAAAAGGTCATCAAAGAGAGTGTCGAGAAAGTCATAAACGTCAGAGCTGTTCATGCGGAATGCGCCACAGGGCGGCTCCTTGCACCACCATTGGTAAGGCTTCTCATTGTATGCAACGATGAGATCCTTGTAGGCGAGCTCAACAACGCCAATGTGGCCAGGCATGTCAATCTCCATGATAACCTCGACTCCACGGTGGATACCATACTCGTAAATGCCGGCGAGCTCTTCGGGGGAATATGTCAGGCCTTTGCGATATGCGCCTTTCTCGGCCAGCTTAGGCAGGGCCGGGATCTCAAGAGGCCAGGACTGCGAGTCAGTGATATGAAGATGAAGACGATTCAGTTTGCTCCAGGACATGGCATCGATGGTGCGCTTGATGTGCTTGACCTCGAAAAAGCTACGGGCAACATCAAGCAGAATGCCTCGATGAGGGTACTCGGGCTCATCCTGGATTGAGACGGGCGCATGCGGGGTGTACCATGAAGTGCCAGAGGTGTGCTTAAAGAAAAGCTGGACAAAGGTCTCAAGTCCGTGCAAGACGCCTGTAGAAGACTTGGCCTTGATGGAAGCCTCGCCTTTTTCAGAAAGAGAGAGGGAGTACGACTCATCGACCTCACCGTTGAGAGGCTTGAAGGTACTCTCGTCGTCCTCCTCGGTCTGGACAATCTTGAGCGACTTCACCCACTGCTTCTTGTCCAGGTCAGGCTCATAATCGGAGTCGCGTGGGCGGAGCATCCATGGGACAAAGTTGTCCTGGAAGATGCCCTGGAGCGCACGAGAGACTCCGGCTTGGACGATTTGCTTGCTGTTGAACTTTGAGCCAGCATCGGGTTGATAGTTGTAAGTGTAGGGGATCTGTTTATCAAGCAAAGTTTCAGTATTGAGCTGTGCGGTACGATTACAGGTACCAGAATCAAAATCAGAATCGGGGAGAGTCCAGCATACAAAGTCTCCATTGTAGGTGATGTCGATTGTTTGATCGATGAAGAGGGCTTTATCTCCAGTAGAGATCTTCTTGGGCACTGGCCATATGGCGTTGGCCGGGGTGAGGGCGAAGGCGGCGATGGCCAGGAGAGCCTTGGACCACATTGCGCCGAGCGGTGAGATGGGGTGAGATGTTTTGAGAGATACAGTAGAGAATGGTTGAGTGATTGTTGGAAGTTGACTGAGCGAGAGTCGAAGCTATTATTTAAGAACCATGGGGAAGAGTGGCTATAATATGAGGGCTGAATGAATCGGAGACTAAGCAAGCCAAAAGTACCGGGGCCCCGTTTAATAAGACTGACGATGATCTTAGGACTCTTGCAGCTCCGCCTCGTGATGTGGTTGATCCTGGAGGACTTTATTTGGTGAGTGGGCGGGGGGAGAGGCTGATTCGATGAGCTGAGATGTGATGGCGCCGATTTTGTTTTCGATATACGAATACCAATGATTCAATGCTGGCAGCCGTTTCCCTTGACAAGGTACAGATCAGTAAAGTGCAAATTGAAGTGCAGTGCAGAGTAGTGTAGTGCAGTGAAGTGCAGACAACCTCAAACCGCAACGTTACGTTACACTGCACTACGCTACCTACCTACCTAACAGTATGTATCCTCCGAAAGGCAGGCGGCTACTTTGAAGGTGAACTTTTGTGCCGCGACAAAAACGATATCAGTCAAATGATGATGCATCCAGTAGATACAAACTGAAGTAACATCCAAAAAGAAAATCAAGGATGTGATGGCTGTTGGATGTTGTTTCTAGACAAGGTTGGGGAAGTGGGATCGTCAAAAGAGGCGTTGCACTTGCAGCCGCAGCCCCAACTGAGCTCCCGTTAAATTCGGCAGCTACCATCTTGGTTGTTGCTGACTGTACCGACGTACCTGCCTCGCTCCTTCGATACTATATTTGCGACAGATCAATTGATGAACTTAGGTACCTTCAGATTACTCACAGTGCGATTCAAACCTCAATATTATAGGCAGGCGCCTAATAAATCAAGCGGGTAGCTACCGCCCTGCCGCCTGTCTTGGTGGCACAACTACAACTCAGCCCGTCAGCATCAGGGGAAAGCAGCTTGATTTGCTCTCAGTATTCAATTATCGACGGAACGAGGCTGGAATTATGCAGCTCTGGGTTGATGTTACATCAGGTTCACACTGCATCAGCCAGTAAGTAGTCTAGACTAATTAAAGTGTAGAGGTTGGTAGGTTATCGCATGGCATGATCTTGATAGTTCACATCTATCAGGAGGATATCAGAAAAGTCGATAATTAAAGCACAGTGAGTACCAGCGAAGTGAAAGTAATAAAGATGCATAAAATTGACTGTCATCTCACTGAAAGCTGACTTGTAATAAACTATTCCTTGTCTTACAAACAAATCCCAACCTCGCTCTTGCTCTTGTGCTACAAGGTAGTAGTGAGTGGCGAGAATGTCTCAACCAGATCCAACCCTTCACCTAACGAATTGAGTCCTGGGGGGCTCACCTGACATCAACAAGATAACCCAAGAGCTGCATTCGAAGCAATTCATCGCTTTCAAAAGAGGAGAAATGTAACATTGAGCATGAACATCCAACACCAGAATGATATGTTACTTTCGTACTCTGGTCCTAACAAAAAATGAATCAAGGTCCTAACACTCTTCCTACCTCCACTCTCTTCATTCATATGCATCTCCTACATTACCAGGCAGTTACCTAGGTAACTATCGTCCTCCCCATCGCACAAACTCGTCATGACAAGCATCCCACCCCTCAAAGTAAGGCCATCTCAAATCTCCCCCAACCTGTCCACCCGCCCCAGCAGCTCTGGCAAGATACTCCAAAACCATATTCCCCCATAACCAACTCAAAGCTCCCTCACCTGGATGCGTGCCATCCTCATACTGGTCTCCCAGTAATGTCATAATTCTCGCCCACTCAAAGATCTCATGGCCGTGCTGCTCAGCCAACGCTCTTCCATAACGATCCATCTCTATGAGCATTATATCTCCTGACCCTGTTTTCTGATGGAAGGTTAAGCTACGCCACATCATAGGCGTATCTGGGAATTCCTTTTCGAGACGCTGAAGGAAGAGACGTAGACGCGCCGAGAAGAAGTGAAGTTCATCCCATGTCATCTTTCTGTGTCTGGCGACAAGCGTCGAGTTGTCATCCTGATGGTGTTTTTGGCCGCCAACTTGAAAGCCGCGTTGATCCCAAAGGCCGTTTTGGAAGAAGATGAGATCCGGACGACCTCGGGGGCCGTTGATGGGGTTCTCATGTGGTTTCCACAGCTTCTTCCAGCGCTCTTCGAAGGGGATAATGCGCATCTCCTTATACCAGAACCAGTCAGGTCTATAGGTAAACCCTCCCGCATTATGAAACGCAAAGAATGTAAGGTTGAAAGCAGGAATGTTGCAAACGCCCTTGGGCCACTTCTCAATGGGATGTAACTTGGGGAAAATCATCTCACTGCCAAACTCGTGACAGACATACTTGGCCTCTCGTCTATCAACAGAGTCACCAAACTCAACGAGCCTGCGGCCCCAAAGCCAACCAAGGCCGCCCTCATCTTTCATAGCAGCAAAGTCATCAACGGTAGGGTTCTTGATATGCTTGAGCGCTTCGATACGACGGCGGTTTTCTTCAGTGGCGATCTTCATCCATGATCGAGGAATTTCAGGGCCTTTGAGGAACTCCTTTGGGACGGCTGTATCGTTGAAGATGAGTTCGCCTTTAGGTGGGTAGGCGGCTGTTTCGGGAGCTTCGGCGTTGAGGAATGTTTCGGTGAAGGGCATCCATTGGGTTTCGCGGTAGTCTGTCCTGTTGGGAGGAATAATAAGATATCCTGGTCGACGATAAGGGTCTCGACAGTTGCGTGGTTCAATGTTACTATTCGCAGGAGTGTTTCTGTTTGACCAAAGGGTCAGAGATGTCCATCCACCCCGGTTTGTATTATATTACTCACTTGCGGCAGAAATCACTGGCTTTAGACGTCGCGTAGTCTAAAGGAGATCTGATAGAATCCGTATAGAAAGCAGACAGAGCAAATAGTACAAAAGCCGTGCCTACAGCCAGGAACCAGAACTTGGAAGCCTGACTGGGCGATGGTAATTGCGGATTAAGTGCCATAACTTTTGGTTTTGCTTGGGCAGGAAAAAACAGACTTCTCGACATTCTGGGGGATCAAGTATTTTAAGATACTAGATTAGGGGTTTAATGTAAGGGAGGATAGACGACCCTTGTGGCGGTAGTAATGGAATGGCTTTACGTGGTTACGGCGGTTGAGGTGCAATGAGTAGTTGGGCCTGGTTGGTCCCTACATGAGACACTTTGAGGGATAACAAAAGGAGTAATATTTCAGGTTAGATAGTTGAGAATGGGAATTCAGTAATTCGTAAGGCTGCACAAAGTCTGGGTCGAAATCATATTGCATACATACCTAAGTACCTATCTCATCTTGCCCTCGGACAGCTTCTGGGGGTAGAACGTATTACTTATCATCTATATAAGTTGTTTCCATATTTCCATAGTTGGATTCATTTTTTGCCAAGATATTCCCTTTATACTAATGTGAAAGACAGTCCCCTCACGCTATGATAGAACTGGTTGTCTTCCCCAAAGACCCTTCTTTGCTTTAAAGCAATTATGAGAAAGTCTGCGGGGAAATAAACTTTAGATCCATACCTACGTACCCAGGTACCTACTAATAATATAAAGAAATGTCATTGAGAGTAATGAAAGGATGAAAGGCACTTCAAAGAGTCCTCCCATTTCAAAATAGCTTCACTCAATGGAAGTATGCTGGGTACATAGTGCCTCTCCTCGCATTTAACAATCAACATTGCCAAGCCAAGCCAATGCTGATATACTAATTTACTTTAAGGTATACAAGGAGGTAGGTATCTAATTCCTCAGATTTCCTTACTAGCGATGCTGAATCGTAACTTATCTAAATGACTAATCGTTTTTGAATCCTTTCGTTGGTCACCGAAGCTTCTGGTCCGTGAAAAGTACATACAGGCATCTTAACTTTTTTCTTTGCTTTTTTAAGTACTAATGAACAAAGAACAAAGTGCATTTGACCTTTGTGTTTATGATTAACAATAAAACGCAAACCTTGGGGCTACTGAAGCGCTGTCATTTACGGCGACTGTGGTTGCCATCTTTATTACAAACCAAACACACCTCGCTCCTGCACTGAAAGAACCGGAGAACAATGACAGATCGGCTCGTCACGTGACCGTACCGCCCCAGTCCTTGACGACTTCTGCATCTCTCAGGCAGACCTTTGCCAACTCCATCTCTATCTTCAACAACCATAAAACCCTGCTCCATCGCTGATCCGTACGACCGCGCTGCTGCAGCAAATCACCGCGCATACGGCGATTAATCACAGATACCCTTTGCTCAATTGCGACCAGTCTTTTGCTCACGCGACGCGCATCTAGCTACATTTTCCTTAACAACGCGTCCTTGACAGCCCGGAAGCTGTACCTCTAATCCCACTTTGCGGTGTACTCTTCCGCCACCCAAAATCATCTCAGCACTTACTCAGACCACCCCCACGATTGCGCAGCTCCTCACCATGCCCGTCGAAATCAGCCTCAACACGCCCCTGGCGGAGGCTTTGAATGCTGTCATCCAACCCAAGCTTGTCGAGGTCGGATGGGGAACTGGCGGTGCCGACGACTCCGCTCTAGCAGAGTATATCATCCTCATGCTGGTGAACGGAAAGACGCAGGATCAGATCGCTTCCGAACTTTCAGGAGACCTGCTTGGCCTTGGATCCGACGACCCTAGCACCCGCGAGTTTTCTCAGTGGCTGTTTGAACAGATCGACGCTCTCAGTGGCCAGGCCAACGGCGGCAGCAATGCCGGCCCCAGCGCAAATCAAGATGGCACAACAGAAGGAGAGATGGATACCGATATGAACGCAGGTGATGCGTCAGAATTGAATGCGTACGTTGCTCTCTTTTCCTCTACCAGCTCCAATTACTAACTTCCCCAAGACCCACTGGCCCACGCTCAATGCGAAACGGCAACCAGCGAGGCGGACGAGATAAGCGCATGTTTGGACAGATGAATAAGGCGATGGACAGACCTGGCGATTCCGCTCTTCACCGCGTCCGAGGTCAGACCGGAGGCGAGCGCATCAACACTCACGGCCGAACACCACCCACCGGTCCCAGAACAGGCCGAGGTGGAATGGGCCGAAACAACAACCGCGGCGCCAACATTCAAGCTGGTCTCGCCGGTATGGCTGCCGGTGGTCCCCAGCCATGGATGATGCAGGGTGGTCAACCGAACTCTGCCGAACTCGTTGCCATGCTCGAACAACAAAACCAGATGATGTTCCAGCTATCACAACAACTCATGGGCAATGGTGGTAACCAGGGCGGATTCGGACAACAGCGTCGTGGCGGAAAATCACTACACGATCGTACACAATACCCCGGCAGAGGTAACTACCGCAAGGGCTTTAACGATCGACAGGGCGGTAGCAACACTGCTGGCGAGGGCGAGGGCGACGATGTAAGCATGTCTGGAGAGCCACGCGAGCCACCGAACCCCGACGATACGGTATGCAAGTTTAACTTGCGCTGCACCAACAAGGATTGCAAGTTTGCACACCAGTCACCCGCGGCCCCCCCCGGAGTCTCAGTTGACGTCAACGACAACTGCAGCTTCGGTGCTGCCTGTAAGAGTCGCAAATGTGTTGCGCGACATCCTTCACCGGCGGCTCGTCTTGCACACCAAAGCGAGCAAGACTGCAAATTCTTTCCCAATTGCCAAAACCCTCAGTGCCCCTTCAAGCACCCATCGATGCCTCTCTGCCGGAACGGTGCCGGCTGCACAAACTCTGACTGCAAGTTTACACATGTCAAGACCAAATGCAAATTCAACCCGTGTCTCAACCCCAACTGCGCCTTCGCGCACGAGGACGGACAGCAAGGAGGCTTCAAGGATAAGGTCTGGACCGCTGGCGAGACTGCTGAGCACGTTAGCGAGAGGAAGTTTGTGGATGATGGCCCCGAGGAGCTCATCAAGGGGGAGGATACTGAGGTCAAGCAAGAGGCTGATGTCATCGGCTAAAGGGAAAATGGAATATAGATGAAGAGAAGAAAAAAAGCAAGATGGTTTGATCAAAAAAACTGATCACGATACCCATGGTCACCAAATGCCTAGATGCTGGTGGATGCTGGGAATGGAGTGAATGAAGGACATGTACTTTTATGGTAGATATGTAATGTCTTTGACAGGGTGGCAGAGCATGGAAGGGCGTTTGGGGTTTGATACTACTTTGGTTTTATTTTAATGCCGTTACAATCTTGTTTACTTGTATAGATAGAGGCCAAGAAGCAAGCAAAAAAGGCCATACACTCGTGCATCATGATGCTTCAAAGCGAGATGCGCGAGAGGGAATGAATGCAATCCACAAGCCCACGGCTGTCCCACACCCATTCATTATATCCAGCTCTTCGCGTGTGATATTGCGTGTTTTTGAAATCATATATGGCCACTACATTTGCTAATCGTCTGTCTAAACTGGGTGCTTAACTGCTTGTACTCTTTCCTCTGTGGTATTGATGACGCACACGGAAGAATACCGGCTTATGCTCCAACACTCCACCAACCATCTCTCCATCTTCATTCTCATAACAACTTCACTCAACACTTCGGCCATGATCAATTGATCCTTGATAATGAGTCGCAGCCGAGCAGAATACACGGCTGTAGCTATTTTGAGCTCAGCAGCTCGTTCAACGACGAGATCCCAGCTTCAAGTCCCCCTCCGTCGACTTAATGGCTTCCGTAGCCTCATTACCTGCTCGGCCTCGGCCTTGACTCGGCGACGACCCATTGTCGCATGCAAACATACGCAAAGCTTCAACGATGGACGGAGATATGTGTCGCAGGCGAAGGATGCAAATATCGCGGTAATTGGAGGCGGATTGACTGGTCTCTCGACAGCATACTACCTCGCAAAGAAGCTCCCCTCGACGACAAAGATTACCTTGTATGAAGGCAGTGATCGATTAGGAGGATGGATCAAGACGGATAGGGTACCAGTAGACATCGGGGGCAAGCAAGGACTTGTTTCTTTTGAACGCGGTTCTCGGTCATTGACATCTCTTGCTGGCAATACGTTCCGCTTCGATGATCTTGTCCTTTACGATCTTGTGAGAACCAGCTTCAGCGATATGACAGAGCTCTGCTAACACGTTACTACCAAGGTTCTCGACCTAGGACTTTCTCTCAGCTCTCCTCCAAACAAGCCACGATACGTTTATTACCCCGACCATCTCGTTCCCATGCCCCCGAACATCGGCATCTTCGGCATTCTCCGCGAGCCCCTCTACCTCGAGAGTATAGGCGCTGGTGTTGGTCTTTTCTTGAACTCGTTGCGCAAGAGGCATCTCCCTGCCGACGACGAGTCTGTCGTCGACTGGCTTTACAAGGTCACAGCTAGCCGTCAGGGCGTTAACAACCTGGCCTCTGCCATGATGCACGGTATCTACGGTGGTGACATCAACAAGTTGAGCGCTCGTAGTGTCTTGGATCGCATCTATTGGGGTTGGTATCTCCCCAATCCTGGCCCGCGTGCGCGCCCGATGCCCGTACCTGAACAGATGATTCTTGACACGTTGGGCCAGGATCGACAAATCCAGAAGCTGGCGATGCAACCAAAGAGCGCGCTGTATGATTTTGGCGACAAGGGCATGGAGTCGCTACCACAAGCTATGGGCGCGGCCCTGAAAGATCAACCGAATGTTACCATCAAGACTGGAGAGGCAGTGAAGGACATTGCATACGATGAAGCTAAGCAGCAAGTCCAGGTAGGATTCTAATCCGATCAAAGCAAAACCTCGTACTCACAGTGCATTCTATAGATCAACAGCTTCAGCACAAAGAACAAGGACCAAAGCAGTTCTCAGGCCTATGACAAGGTCATTTCAACACTGTCCGCCCAGCATCTTGCCAGTCTCACGGGAGATAAGCTACCATCTCTTTCTACAGCACACTCTGTTTCCGTCATGACAGTCAACATCTGGTTCCCCCAGGAGAACATAAAGCCTCCTGGCTTTGGTTACCTCATTCCTAACTCGGTCGACCCAGAACTTAACCCACATCACGCACTTGGCGTCTTCTTCGACTCCGACGTTGGAACTCGTTCCAAGGACGAACCTGCCGGAACTAAGCTCTTCATTCTTATGGGCGGCCATTACTATGATCGCCCGGGTGTTACTCCCCCAACTGAGGAAGAGGCCATTGTCCAAGCTCGTGAGCTACTTGAGCGTCACCTCGGCATTCCACGCGATGCTCCAGCCTATGCCACAGCCAATTTTGCCAAGGAGTGTATTCCTCAGCACTATGTCGGCCACCAAGACCGCCTACGCAACGCCCACACTGAGCTAACGCAAAACTTTGGCGGACGTCTCGCTGTTGCGGGTGGTTCATTCCATCGTATTGGCACTATTGCCGGTCTCCGTTGTGGCTACGATGCTGCTATTGCGGCAAAGGATGGCCTCGAAGCCACGGGCCTGGAGTACCTTGAGAAGATCCAGGAATTTTCAGTTGTGCCAATTGAGGCGATCCCCGTGCGCCAGTTCTAGCGAACAGGTGAAGAGTGTATAAATATATCTAAGTATTTGACAAAGTTGAAGAACATAAGGCAGAGGAAATCAGAGTTATCAAGCGCGCTTCAACGTTTAGTTCAGGACTAAGACTGTATTATTACTTAGAGCGATAGAAGGAAACGAAGTGAAGATGCCAATTCAATACCAAAGATCAAAAAGTAAAACTCCAAAATACTCTCATTCATAATTGATATCGTGGTATTCCGTGTGCATATGGAGGTATCATTAAGCTATCACAAAAGTCACGTCCAGCCGCTTTACGTGACCCCCCTTTTTCGCCGCTGGTCTAATAAAAGTCCCCTACAACTCCAAACTCAGTAAAAATCAAAACCTGGTATAGTCTCATGGCCCTCCTAATCCAAGACGACATACTCTGAATTGTTTTGGAAGGATGAGCCAGCCAATGGCCGAATAGCTTCATCAATAGCAAAAAGAAGATTAGCAATGCCGTCTTGTGGTCTGCCAGCCGCGCCTGTAACAAGGCCAGTCCATTTTTCTCCCCTGGCTTCCCATACAGGCTTGAGTGCGCTCGTAAATTCATCATGTGGCGCAAAATTGATGTTGACGGACTTGCGCATGATGTGCCACCATGGCTCGCCCCGTCTATGCTTGACATGAGCAAGAAACGTGATGTCGCGGTGGAGAGGCTGGTTCCCGGGACCAGTGCCTGTGACGGAGTAATGAATCGACATCTCATCCACCGAATCCATTACGAATCTGAACTGCCCTTGATTACGGGCTTCAATATCCTTCCACGTCTCTCTTATTTTCTTAATCGCTTCCAGGGCTGGCAGGGACTCAGGAAGCCAGTTCATCAGAGCCCCGATGCCATTAGCGCCATTGACAAGCTTTTGCATTAAATCGGTGACCGGAAGATGAGGATTAGGTTCTTCTATAATAAGGTCGATATCCTTTTGGGACAAGTCGAGGGTTATCCTCCAAAGTCGTGAGGGCTGTGCATCGGTACTAGCCTCTGATGCCAGAGGTCCATAAGAGAAGGTGACCTCCTTCAAGCTCACAGACTCGGCCGCGATTGACTCTCTCGCCTGGTCCATCGACTCGAAGAAACTGACGAACCTATCGACGGCTTTGACGCGAGCCTTCAGGTTCTCCAACATAGACTGCCCAATGTTTGAACGCATCCGCAAGCAGAACTCGCCTGATCCAGCGTTCCACGAGACATCGCGACCAACCATGTGGCTCTTGAGCATGTTGAACTTGGCTGGCCTTCGAACCTTGATAATGGCATCAGAAACGCAAATGAAAGGTTTTTCTGATTTGTCGCCTTCAGATTTAATGCTTTCATAACCAGTAGATGCCTCCTCTGCCGGCTGAACTCCCCTGAACCTGACCGAGATGATGTCGTTCGCCCAAGGTTGTTTGGTAGAAATGCCTGATCCAGTGGCAGACTGCACGACAGAACCTGATTTGACAGACTCGGCGTTGCTGCTGGATCCACCTGCAGTCCTGGGGCTGTCCTTTTCAGCGTTCTCAAACACCATGGACGGAAAGATTCCCGAGAGTGCGATCTCAAGAGTTGGGAGTCGTACTTGTTGCGGAAGAGACCAGTTGTTCGATCCATGAGGTTTGAATTTGATGTTCTGTTTATGAAGCTCTCGTTGATCCACCATTTGAGCAATCATGGCACTTGCGAACAGGGTCAGGTTATTCCAGAACTCATCATCAAGGCGAGGAAAGCCCCTGTTGAGGGGAAGCTTTGATGATAACCGAGGTACGTGACCAGAAGGACTACTATTCCTATCGATCAAGTCAGTAAAGGTCAGCAGATTGAAGGGCACCAGCCTCAACTTACGTATCAACAAGCCACCAAACATCCCCGCCTGGACTCAGCAGAACCATAACAAACCAGTTTGGCCCCCATCCAGCTCTGTGGAGCCATATGGTCCTTGTCCATTCGCGGGTATTGGTAAGAGCTTTCAGCTGGTCGTTGTTTAAGGGATTCTTCTTGATACTCCAACCTGCCGTGCTTCCTCGGCGGCTTAACTCATCTTCTACAACTGCGCACCTTACATTCTCCAGACATGCTGCACCGTCTTCAGCTGGATTGTTTCCACTATTAAGCTGATTCTCTTTGTCAAAGGTAAATTTCGAATGAGGTTTGACAGCAAAAACACCAGTTGTCGGCTCGATGAGTAGGGTTACGCGATCCTTGAAACCAACTTCCATGGTTAGAGATGAATCAGCCGGGTCTTCTTGGGACGAGTGCAAGGCCAAAGACGCTTCGCGGTTTTTAAATCGGGGAAAAGACAACAATTTGGTGTGTATGCTGCCCAGAAGGAAGTCGATATGGCGTCCGATGACCGTTTTTATAAGTGCCTCTGCCGACAGATTGTCGCTGTCGAAAGTGATAACCACGTCCTTAACCTCCTTGTTGTCCCGATACCATTTCGCTGTCAAGTGACTGGATGACTTGGGGTCGGTTTGACCGTTTGCTTTTTTCCCAGTACTGACAGCAACCAAGACCCAGCTCTTGGGGCCACCCGGTTGCGTTCGAGAAGTCCAGTACTGAACAGCCAGAGCTCTGTTCAAAGGTTCCACCTTGAGTGTGCCTGTCCATGAGCCCTTGCTCATTTGACTCGCCTGTCTCTTGAGTTCGTTGAGCTTGTGAGTAAGGACCAGTTCGTGAAGAAACTGATAACAACCGAGCAGTCCGTCCTTACTTAAAATATCGTTTACATGGCCCTCCAGGTAGTTCTTAAGACCTTCAGGGATTGATGATACTGCCGGATGGAAAGCAAATCGGAAGTCGATGAACCAGAACTGCTTTTCAAAATCCTCGTCTGCGATGGTAAGATCCACCTCGAATTCTCCAGGTACTCTAAATGTGACGCGTCCCGAATTGATCTCGTAGTTTCTGAAGTGGTATGGTATCTTGTCGAAGTCCTCGAGATTCAGCCGTAACGATAATTGAGTGTTGACATCGCTCATCCACTGGATCTGTTCCTCTCTTGTCAAAGGAGGTGGTTCGATATAGGAAAGCTAATTGGAAAGTCAGTTTAAACCAGCATGCTTCGACGATGCGCAATACTCACGTCGGGCATCCATGCAGCCTCTCCAGTTGACAAGACTTGGAGGGCTGTTTTCAAATCAGGACTTGGCATTCGCGCAAAAGTCAAATCCCTCTTGACATGACCCATAACATCCAGAGCTCCAGTGAACAGAACCTCTTGTCCTTGAAGGTGGAACCTCAGATCAATCAGTTTGCTGACCATATCAGCCTTTCGGCTCCATTCTGTAATAACAAGCGCCTTGACCCATTTTCTATGCTCCCTCATCGCGAAATTTAATATCGATGTCTTTTTGGCAATATTTTCGCCCGATGCATCCTCAACGTCGCTATTCGGTGTCGTCGAGTTTCCGTTCATGGCGGCAGCGGGCACAGGCATCTTTGCCAGAGCGGCAATCTGGTCTTGGAGCGCATTGTGTGTCGATTGCGCGAGGCGCGTAAGGACCTTTGAGAGTGGTATGTAGCCCTGTGTGATGTGGACTATTTCGCCGGCAGGATCGCTCATGCTGGAGGGAGTGCGATAAGGGCGTGGCGGTGGTTGTTGTTGATGATGTGAGGGCGGATCGTCTAGGCGAGAAGACTTCGAGAGGCGCTGGAGTAACGACAGAAGACCGGCCAGGTCATGCGAAATGATGCGCGCAAGTCATACGTAGGAGACTCTGTCGCCGCAAGTCTAGGTTCGTATGGAGGCGCCGTCTTTCAGAGTCGTGTTTATCGTCGGCGCAGGAGTCTAGCTGGTCACCATTAAAGGAATCTTGATTGTTGCGCTGCGTTTGGGCGTTCACTGGAGACGCCTGGTCATGTGATAGGCAGTGCACAAGTCAGCACAAAGATCTTGCACAACGATGCACAATCCACTTTCAATTTAGGCAGGCAAAGGTGACAGGCTCTATGATTTGTCAAAGAAGATGATTGATGTTCTTTGTATTAGGATTTCTTTCTCGAATGATTCTTTGATCTATTCTAAGTGCTGTATGATTCTTGAGAGTTCTTTATTCTTGCATGCTCCTTAAACATATGATTATATAATGACCTGACAGTATTTATGCACCACCTATATGTCATTCGGGCCTCTCCTCTCCGTCTTCCGGACGGATGTGGCGTTCAGGGTCTAGACTTTGACTACAAAGAGATATTGACAGGGATAAACACAAAAATGATGAGGCAAGTAATGACAGCATGCATCTGTTTGTTGCAAATTGGAAATGGAATCGATTCAAGTTGTTATTGAAATTCTCATCTACTCGAGCAAATCATAAAGCCATGAGCAAAGCCTCCTACGTGGACGCGTCTAATAATCCACAGAAGCAATTGACTTTCATTATATTGCCAACGTCCCCGTTGTTCCCATAGTTATTTATATAGAAATCATTCAATTGTTTTTTTTTTTCGCCTCTTTGGGCTCGGGATATCATAGTCCGAAATCGGTCGTGACTCTCATCGTGTGGGAGGCGTCATTAACTTTGATAAAGGTCAGCAACTTGTACAACTTGTAATTTCGCACCCAGGTAAGCCTACAGGATGCAAGTCGACACTTACAACTTGTTGGGGGCAGCAGCAGCGTTGGTTGTTGGCCATTGGTAGCCAGCAGCGTCACTGAATTTGTAGCCATAAGAAGAGGTAAAGTCGTCCAGGACAGCAGGGCCACGAGAGCCTGAAAATTCTGTTAGCAAAGCTCGATCAGGGCAATCTTGGAAACATACCATAAGGATACTCCATGGGAATAATCTCCTTGTTGTCGTCCAAGTAGTGGAGGATGGGGGTGAAGATGCGCCAGCTGGCGTCAAGCTCGTCATCACGAACAAAGTTGGATTGGTCGCCCTTCAAGCAATCAAGTACGAGCGACTCGTAGGCCTCGGGGATCTTAAGGTCGGAGAATCGTCTTCGGTAGGTCAGATCAAGCTCGGTGACAACAGTCTGCATGCTGAGACCAGGAAGCTTGGAGTTCATCTTGATATAAACACTCTCGTTGGGCTGGATACGCATAACAAGCTCGTTTCGGGGAATATCCTTAAAGATACCCGATGTGACATCCTTGAACTGGATTCGGATCTCGGTCTTCTGCTCGTTAAGGGCCTTTCCGGCCTTCATGATGAAAGGCACACCGTCCCAGCGCTCGTTCTTAATGTAGGCGACCAGCGCGCAGAAGGTGGGGCATCGAGAGTCCTGGGGAACAGTGTCGTCCTCGCGGTAGGCGGGCTTGCTACCGTCAAGAGACTTGCCGTACTGGCCAATAATGACGTTCTTGGGCTCAATGGCAGGGATGGCGCGGAGGACGCGGACCTTTTCGTCACGGATATCCTCAGCGTTGAAGGAAATGGGTCGCTCCATAGCCAAGAGGGTGAGAACCTGGAGAAGATGGTTCTGCATAACGTCACGGACGATGCCAAACTCGTCGAAGTAGCCACCTCGGCCCTCAGTGCCGAAAGGCTCCTTGAAAGTGATTTGAACGTTGTCGATGTGGTGTCGGTTCCATGTAGCGCCGAGGAAAGAGTTACCAAATCTAAGGATTAGAATGTTCTTGACCATCTCCTTGCCAAGGTAGTGGTCGATTCGGAACAACTCCTGCTCGTTCCAGTCGGGCTCGAGGGACTTTTGAAGTTCGCGAGAGCTGGCAAGATCCTTACCGAAAGGCTTCTCGACCTATTGAGCTTGTCAGCCATCAATTGACAACAGGATGAGAGTATTGTTTCACGTACAATTACACGCGCAACACCGTTCTTGGGGTAGCAGTTCTTCTTGAGGTGCTGAGAAACAATGGTGAAAACACTGGGGGGAAGCGCCATGTAGAAGAGGCGGTGGTTCTCAGGGCGACCCTGCTCAACCTCCTGGAGGTGCTGCTCGAGGCCTTGGAAGGACTCATCCTTGTCGTACTGGCCAGAAACGTAGGTGCAGAGACCGGCGAAGTCTTCGAGTTGCTGCTCAATCTCCTTTGTGGGGGTCTTGATGTATGACTTGATGCGTCGAATGTATTCATCGTGGTCCATCTTGGTACGGGCATATCCGACAATCTTGACATCCTTGGGAAGGAACTGGTTTCGGTACTTGGAAAGTGTCAGCTGGGTGAAAGCGCTCAATAGACATGACGATTTCACTTACAAGACCGAACAGTGCAGGGTACTATCATGGAGCGAAAACAGACATGTTAGTTTCAAGCACAACAGAGTATGAGGGGCTATGAGGGGAGCTCCCCACCGTCTTCTTTTTCGCCAGATCACCAGAAGCGCCGAGCACGACAATTGTCGTGTTCTGCTTGAGTTCCATGCATCTGTATAGAGTATTTTGTCAGTAACGGATATTTTTTATGCTGCGGTCGGGTACTGCAGGCCGCGAAAACGCGATCGCATCGCAAACCGCTCAGCGCGAGCATGATAGCTCGGAGGTGTAGCTAGAGCGCAGATGCAGTTCCATGGTGGGGTTGGGATATGGAAAGAGGGAACACTCACGGATCCATTGTTGCGGTTTAGTATATGAGGGAATTGAAAGTTGAGTAGCAACACGGGAGCAGGAAGAGGATCAAATGGGAGGGAGAAAGGATCTGAGAAATGGGAATGGGAATGGGAATGGAAGAGGTGACGAGGTTTTGCGGCTTCGACGGTTTTATGACGACGGGAGCATCCAAATGCCCCCAAACCAGCGGGAGCAGCCCAGTTCAGTCCAGTCCAGTGGCAGAAACAGCAGCTGGGGGAGCTAGCAAATCAGCCATTGATTGGGTCCCTGCGTGAGCTACGGGGCTATGATGCAGTAGGTCCCTAACAGAACAGAAGAGTGGGTGGGTAAAGGATCCATGGATGGGATCCAGATGGGTATGGATGGATAAAAAAGTGTTGCTGTCTTCTGGGTACTTTTTTCTTGATAACCTCCACTTTACCTCATGAATAGATTACACACTTTGTTAGTCCACATTACCTTATGGTACATGAAGAATTTTGGTTGACCGCATACTGAAGATTGGCGGTTGTGGTGGTGATGAGATCCAATGTTTGTTAGAGCACTTGGAGGTAGACGACTCAGAACCGTAAACCCCAATGCGTCAGGGTCTCGGTACCTACTACTGTACCACTCTGCAAGCTCCCGTCCTCGGCGATTCTATGTCCGGGATTGTTACCTTCTATTTTGCCTGAATTTGAGGTGCCTGTATAAAATAACTCTACAAAAGGGTACTGTTAGTACCTCACCTTAGACGCGGAGACCTGGCTTAAACGCAAGCGGCCGAATCGTCTCCGTGCTTTTGGAGTCTGACTGGATCTGTCGTGGACTTGACGTATGGTGTTTCCACACCTTGCTAAACACTTTTTTGTATGTATCATCATCAACAAGGTAGCTTAGTTGGTAGTCGGTCACCGTTAATAAGTATCGGCTCTCCCTTCTCTGCTGTACAGTATCTATCCTCTTTGTAATTCATTGCCTAACCCATTGAACTCGACGTCACACATTGAGACCGTGATTAACGGTTTAACAAAACAATATGGTCTGTGTAGTGAGCATTACGAAGCACGTTGCTTCTCCAACTAAACATCTTTGTCAGCTTCTCCGGCTCGCCCGGGGCATCCATCACTCGCTCTCACTCACCGAGTCCTGGCAACGATAGGTAGACTTCGGCGGTGGTGGCGGTCCCTGACTTACCCAGGGTAACCAGGACTACAGCTTGAGCCTGAGCTCGAGCCTAGTACAGTATTCTCATTCTGCCGCACCCCAACGCAACGCAACGCAACAGGGACGGGACGGCATAGACTACACCTTGAGATCCACTCGGCCCAGGCGCGACTTGATTATCAAGACGACCTGGCTGACGGAACGGCCAAAGATGTCGGCCATCTTGCCGCTTGGAGGCGGGATATCCTCCGTTGCGATGAATGCGGCGGCCGAGTCTAACATACCATGCCACGCCTTTCGGGGTCGATCGCTTACTGTACTACTGTTTTACGTTTCCAAAAATTCTTGAGACGTGTCTGAATCTTGTATCATCATAGGTCACTCATGAAACGAGCATTTAACACAAAGTCATGACGCCTACACAGACCCTCAATTGGTGCTCGCGACCTCGTAACTCGGCGGCAAACACGCATACAGCGATCTGGTCTCGCGGCGCAACCGCGGTGTCTCAAGGTCTTCTCCATAGTTAGTGATGGAAAGTCTGTGACTTGCAGCGCTTCAACTTGCCAACCAAGGTCCACCATAGACAGACCCCCGGTCCATATCACGTCAACTCAACAACTCCAAGGTCAGCTCTGCCGAGGATTCTAGTGATCAGATAAGTTTGTTGCGTTGCACACCAACTAAATTATCACACTCAACCCTGAAATAAATGACGCCTGATGCTCAATTGTTCAACTCAGTTATACTCCCTGTTCCCAATCTACCCTCACTATGGGATATACCGATATGTCCAAATCTTGTGAACATACGATAAGGAATATTTGAAAGAAGAAAATCATCGGATGCTCTCTATCAAAACAAGATTCCAAATTAACTTTTTTCTTTCCCTGGAGTTCCCTGGCTTTA